CACTCAGCCGCCGACCCTATGTCACAACAGAGTGGGATGCTTTGAAGACGGTTGATGAGTTAGCAGACGCTTTTATGGCATGTGTGGTAGTAACTCCTTCTATCATTCATCAGGTTATTCAAGCGCAACTCTCAGATCAACAGTGTATTGATCGGGTTTCGGAGTTAGCCTCCGGAGATGTTCCTTTTTATTCTATGGGGACTGATGGAGGATTGAGGTACAAGGGACGTTTAATTGTGCCTTCAGCTGACAATTTGAGAAATGTTGTGATGAGAGAGACACACACTTCTCAGTTCTCTGTACATCCAGGGGGAGACAAGATGTATCAGGACATGAAACGCCAGTTTTGGTGGGCCGGCATGAAAAGAGATATAGCTATCTTTGTCTCTAAATGTAGCACCTGTCAGATGATTAAGATTGATCATCAGAGACCGCCAGGATCGTTACAGCCACTTCCCATACCAGAGTGGAAATGGGAGAGTATTTCCATGGACTTTATAGAGGGATTACCTACTTCACAGCATAATCACAACTCTATTTGGGTCATTGTTGATAGATTGACCAAGTCCGCTCACTTTCTGCCTGTTCGGTCAAACTTTACGTCAGAACAGTATGCTAAGCTGTATATTGCAGAAATGGTGAAACTTCATGGTGTACCCTTGTCCATCGTATCAGATAGAGATCCGAAGTTTGTCTCAGGATTTTGGAGAAGCTTTCAGCAGGCTTTGGGTACAGAACTTTATCTTAGCACTGCTTATCATCCTCAAACAGATGGACAGACTGAGCGAGTTAATCAGATTTTAGAAGACATGTTGCGGGCATATGTTCTTGATTTTAAGGGCAATTGGGAGGAATATTTGCCGCTTTCAGAGTTTGCTTATAACAATAGTTATCAGAAAACTATTGGTATGGCACCATTTGAGGCTTTGTATGGTAGACCGTGTAGGTCTCCTGTCTGTTGGCTTGGAGTTGGTGAGAACAACTTTCTGGGTCCTGAATTTATTAAGGACACGTCAGAAAAGATCGCTATCATTAGGGATCGGATGCGTACAGCTCAAAGCAGACAGAAAAGTTATGCTGACCGTCGAACTCGTGCTTTGGAGTTTAAGGTTGGTGATCAGGTTTTGCTTAAGGTTTCTCCTATGAAGGGAGTAATGCGGTTTGGGTCAAAGGGTAAGTTATCGCCTCGTTTTGTGGGTCCTTTTATGATTACAGATCGGATTGGGGCAGTAGCTTATCGTCTGGCTCTACCAGATAATCTTCATAGGGTACATAATGTTTTTCATGTATCTATGCTGCGAAAATTTCTACGGGAAGAAGATCGATATCAACACATTGATGTGGGTGAGATTGAGTTGCAACCTGATGCAACCTATTTGGAACAACCTTACTGTATTCTCGATCGTAGAAATCAGATACTGCGCACGAAGACTATTCCATTAGTACGTGTACAGTGGAGTCATCATAGTGCTACAGAGTCTACTTGGGAACGGGAAGATATTATCCGTGCCAAGTATCCAGAGCTCTTTAATACAGGTATGTAGTGAATTTCGGGGACGAAATTCCGTTATTAGGGGGGGAGAATGTAATACCCCGTAATTAATTAAAGAGTTTAGTGTATTTAAATTCAATTATGGGCGGATTCCTGTACCTATTATTGTGCATGCTTCATTGTTATATTAAGTTCATTTAATGGTGCATGTAAATTAATTGTGTATGTTAAAATAGTAAATTTATTCATTTAATTGTGCATGTATTATTATAATTAATTTTATTTGTTGATTATGTTTAATTAAGCAATATTAGTTAATTAGAATATTATATTTGTGTTATAAAGTATTATGATGATATAATATATTATTTTGTAATAACAATAATAATAATTATATTAGTTTAATAATAATAATAATAATAATATAATAATAATAATAATAAAAGTTTATTAATAATAATATTAGTAATAATAATAATAATAGTTATACTAATAATAATAATAGTATTAAACCAATGTCATGATGAAATTAGAGATTAGGATAGGATGGCATCAATGTTTATGGGTGGAATTGAAGCCTTATGGTTGGGAGGATGGATAGTTGATGAAAAAATAAGATATTTGTAATATTTATATTATATATTTTGTATATAAATTAACTAGCTTGCCTTAGAAGAAAATAAAGGGAGTTAGAAGCAAGGTATAAATTCTAGAGAGCTATTTTATAAGAGTGAAAGGAAAAGAGAAAGAGAAAGAAGCTTGGACCGGTGTAGGCAATTTTACCCGACTACGCGCAGACCGGCGGATTTATTTTAAATCCAAAAAGGCAAGTTATTATCTACTTTTCCCCTTTGAATTAATAAATTAATTGTTTAGCTTATTTTTATGCATAGAGCCAAGGTTTGGAGGTTAATAAATTATTAATTTTATTTTATTAAATTAATGGAATTTTAATTATATAGGATGGTATATATTTATTTAATGTCCTATGAAATTAATAATGGCTAAAAATAATTAAATAAGACTTTAGGGATTTTTCTAGAATTTTCTAGATTTTTCCGGGGCTTTTCTGCAATTTCCGGCGACCTTCCGGCGAGTTTTCCGGTCGCCGGCAGTGGGGGAGATGACCGGAGTAATCCGGTGTGATACGGCGCACTATAGTTACTGTGCGCATGGATATCCGGCCGTTAGATGAGTAACTAATCAGCAGATTGATTCGGTGTAGTCCAATACACCATAAGATGGTGCACGCGCGAACCAGGACCCTTGGATTAGGAGAACTAAGATAGAATTATCCAGTGTAGCGCACCCACAACAAGTCCATGCAACCACCGAATCAGGAGCCGCCGCGTCAGCAAGGTACCATTAGTGCGTGCGTGGCAGCGCGTGCGCGCGCGTGGAACGCTCCAGACGCGCGTGGCTGATGCCAGACGCGCGTGGGAGAGTGGGAAAACTTGGCGGCGCGTGTGGGGAGCTCTGGGAGGCGCGTGGGGGCGCGTGAAGGGCCTCTGCGGCTGCTGGAAAGGTCCAGAATACCCCTAGGGACTGTTTTGTCATTACCAGGACCTTCACTATACATTTTGGGGCCTCGGGTTGGCATTTTTGGAATTAACGGGACATTATATTATTATTTTATTTCTCGTTAATTATTATAATTGTCCGATTAATATTTCTAAATATTAATTGTATCAGTTAAAGTGCGAATCGCTAGTAAACATATGTAATTGATTTAACGACTATTAATGGTATTATTTTAGTAAACTGTAATAACCATTAATGTTAAATTAATTAGTGCTTGGTTTTATTCATATAAATAACCCATTATATATTATGGAATATTTATACTGTTAATCGTATATAAACCATGATTATTATGCTGTGTGCATTTCAGGGAATAAATGGACTGTTTATTATGTCGCATTTATATTATATGGATGTGTTGCCATATAGAACCATGTGAGCTGACTAATAAGTTTAGACTCATTTATACCTTATGCATTCGTTGCGATAGACAGATGTGTGGCTGTCGGGGTATGTGGTTTAATATTATTGGCATGTGTTGCCTAATTGACATACTCGGTATATTTATTAATATTATTGGCATGTGTTGCCTAAATTGATATTCTCGGTATATTTATTAATATTGTTGGCATGTGTTGCCTAATTTATATGCTCAGTATATTCATCAGTACTTTGCGAGGTGTTATCACTGTGTAGTTCGTTATAGTCTGTGTTGTCAGTACCGTGCACCATGTATAATAGCTGATTTCCCGGGTAGGGAAAGGCGACACTTGACCACCTAGTATGAGTCTAAGTGATCACCGTCTATTCTGGTTGAGGTCATGTTATACATCGGATAGTTCCCGTAGGATGTATACAGATATAGTACTCATCCGATTCATAATGATTAATTTATTTGATTCTCTGATTTGGGTCATAGTAGAGAGGACTTGCTCGTGGGGTTGACCCACCATTGTTGTTATTTCAGGATACGGTCAGTATCCGTTTCAAGGCTGAGGTTAGCAGTGTGGGACCATCATCCGAACTCATCTACTCTTACGATCCAGTGCAGGGTAGAAGTTTTATGTAATACTTCAGTTTCAGTTTTTAATTACTTTTGACGTTGAACTCTCAGGGTTATATTTAGGGATCCCTGACGTAGGATTTCCAAGTTGTAATGAAGTACTGTATGAAATAAAGGATGGATGGATGTTGTATTATTTAATGTTCCTTTCCTGTCTAAATTCTTTTATTTCCATCATTTTGTATTCCATGCTTGTATATTGCCAATTATTTTTGATATCCCTCGTTTTTCGTGTATAAGCCTGATCAACTTATGCGGGGAAAATGTGGGGGTGTTACAGCAGCCCTCACCACAATCTCTCTCCTATCTTTTTCCTCTCTCCTCTTCACCTCATCTCTTCAACTATGGCCGCCCCTCTCTTCCCCCTCTCTACACCCACCATCGCAGTCACAAACCACCATTCATTTGATCTCCCTTCTCTCTCCTCTGGTGAACTGAATAATACACACACAGGCGGGTTCGGGTTGGGTTTCGGGTTTGGGTTTAATAAAAGGGTATTTAAGTCAATTAAAGTGTTAATTTTATTTGAAAGGGTAATAAGGTCAATTCACCATCTTTAGGGTCTCTTTGTCCATTTTTAAAACTTGAAGGGATGTCATTGTCCAAAAATAGGCCAACTTTCCTCTGCTTGTCCTTTCCCCAAACCTCAGGGGGTGTCTTTGTACTTTTCCCTATTTTTTTTAAGTTCAACAAGGTCATCATGATGAAAGCAAGCACTGTAGTTTGAACTTTGAAGCTCCGAGGACGCGTGGGCCAAAAGGTGGGTTGATCAAGGTCAACATCTCTTCTCTATAAATGGCTATAGATTCAATAAACTAGTTTTCCGTACATCAAGGAAACGACCAAGTAGTGAAAGAGAAGCCGTTGAAAGATTCAAAAGCTCCTCGTGGTCTAGGTACATATATATTTCCTACCTACATATGCACACACACACACATGTACGTGTATATCTATATATCAGTTCTCCTAACTGCATCACATTCACATCCCTTTCTCTGCTAAACCCAGCATCACAAGAAATTGACAACTGGGTTTGAATGTTTCCTAGGAGAAAATAACCCAAGAAGAAACTCATGATTTAAAAAGAAAAAGAAATCAAAAGAAGTCATCTTCTTGAAGAAGTCAGAAATAGGAGACTTCCCTACTTCGACATTTAAAAATAGAGAATAGAATAAAAACTATTGTCATTTGACTTTAAATCATTGAGGAAAACTGCTAACCAAAGAGCCTCTGGGTTATATTTATTTTCTTTTTATAGTGAGAAAATTTTTATCATGGTGAGTAGTGATTTTATTGTACTGGTGAGAACAAATAAATTATTTTTCTGTGTATAAATTTTTATACTCAAGGCTGTTGCCAATTGGGGAAGAGTTGGTGTAGAGTCCTATTTTTGTATTGGAGCACTGTATGTGTTTGATAGAAGTCAATGACAAAGTAATTGTCAGTAAGAAACTTTCTTCTGTTGAAAATTTCAGCTAATGAATATTGGAAAGTGAAATAAAGGGTTTTTTTAGATTTGAAGTTTGAATTTCATAGTTCTTTGGTAATGGGTTCAAGAATTCAGGTGTTTATGATGGTTATTTCCATCCAAATGTTGGTTATAGCAGCGCAGCAGAGGAAAAATCAAGATTGTAAGTTAGTTTAATTCTTACTTCCAATTTTCTTGTTTAGTCACTGTTTGATGTTTGAAGTGTTTGCAGATGTTTATGCGTGAGAGCTGAAATATCTGTTTACAACCTACTCTAGTTTAACTCCTTTTCGGTTCATTTTCTTTCTGTTTGGTTGCAAAGAAAATGAAGGAAATGAAAAGAAATGGATTTATAATTTATGCTAGACAAGTCAGCTTCACTAAGCTAAATTTTTAAGGCTCGGTTTAGTTTCCTAGAAATTAAGAGTTCTTGCAGTTCCCAAATGATGGAATTTTTTAAATTTGACAATTTGTGCTTCTCTTGTTTTTCTCAAGTGGTACCTTGTATATAGACAATTAAGAGTTTATTTCTACCTTTCTAGATAATTTATCTAAAATATTCAGGAATAGCTTCCATAGAAAAGTTTGCAGATCACTGTCATAGGAACATGTCACCGCATTCATGTAACGACACTAACTTCATATAAAAGGTCCTCCTTCTTCCCTTTTAGCGTGTTGTTTGAAATGAATACATATTGTCTGCTTCCAATGTCATCATGTTTAGAAAGTAGACTCTCAAGCGGCATGTTTCTGGCTGTTCTCAGGAGATATGGTATTATATGTTGTATGAACATTTTGGGCATAAAAATGTACTTTTACTGATGGTAAAATGGTATTGATTATTATTTACCGAAAAAAATGGTATTGATTGTAGAGCTCTTTAAATATGAGTTACATGACAGGACATTGAACAAGAAAATACTTTGAAAAATCCAACAATAAGATTGGTAATATGGAAGGTTCCTTTCTTTTGCTGTTTGGAATACTGAACATGCCATTGGGTCCTACCATTCTCCATGTATGTGTTGAATAGGAAAGCATTCATAATGTATGAATTCAACCTATGCTCTGCCATTAATCTGGAGTTGATTCAGTAGTTTCTGCTTGAGGATGTGTGGTTTCCGGTAACAAAACCTTATTTATTATTATTATTATTTTTTTGGTTTTTCTTTTAATTTTGATGCAGATGTTGCATTAAAGGCTCTCATGGACAACTTGAACAACTTACCACCCAGTTGGGCAGGCTTAGATCCATGTGGTGAAAGTTGGGAAGGCATTATGTGCACCAATTCACGCGTGACTTCGATGTAACTCACTCAACTTGTTTTCATCTGTTGATGCTTACAGAAGTTAGATTATTCTGCTCTTTTGATACTGTTGAGCTTAATCTAACAATTTTCAATTTCAGAAAATTAGCAAGCATGAATTTGACTGGACAGCTGTCTGGAGACCTCCAATACTTATATGAATTACAGATTCTGTAGGTCTTCTATTTGCACTATTTATCTTCTCCCACTTATTGGGTCCAATATACAACTGACTTAACAAGCCATCATTTAGTTTTAATTATTCTTTCTGGACTGCTGTGGATACCATATTTCTTACCAGACTGCACCTCTCTAACATAGTTTCCCCTCAATTTGTGGAGCAATCATGAGACACATCCCACATGCTTGGAGGATCTGTTTATTTAATAGATGTTCCATGTGGCTAACTATTCCTGAATTTTATTGTAGAATTATGAATATAATCTTTAATTTTGTATCATTTATTTATGTTTGTGGGTCTAAACAAACACTTCACTTTTCAAAGAATTTTGTAGTTGGATTAATGTGATTAGTCCATTTTCCTTTACAAAGTAATTTGAGTTCAAAAGTTGGTTGACTGTAATGTGGGGAATAAGGATAATGACCAAAATATAAGAGAAATGAGGATATAGAATGCTATTAAAAACAAAATCTATAAAACAAAATAATCCGTTACCTAATATTAGTTCAGTTAATTTAGAGCGCTGCTATTCCACGTAGGAGTTTCTCTTTATTTCTTTGCAATTGTTGGTGAGACCTGAACTATGTTAGATTACAATACAAATATTGTAATAGTTATTCACAGATGTGGGCCATAATAATAGTGAAAATTCTTGCTTTGTTACGAGGACGGATGTATACTCAATATCTCTCTTTCTCCCTCCCTCACTCTCTATATACAGAGGCTCCATATGTATTAGTGTGTATATTAGACTTCAATGCCTAATCTGACATGATAAACTGCCACCAGTAGACTATGCTTGTGCTTTTCTTTAGTGGGTGTGACTATCTGAAATTATCTTTGTTTCTTTTAAGTATTTTTCATCTGATTATCAGCTTCTGCATATAGGGACCTTTCATACAACAAGGGTCTGACAGGACCTCTTCCTCCACCAATTGGAAATATGAAGAAGTTATCCAGCTTGTAAGGAAATATTGATTGATATTGTAGAGTATTAGCTATCATTTAACATGATGATTACAATCCTCTTATAAACCGATCGCTTCTACTTGCATGGTAGAATCTTAGTTGGTTGCAGTTTCAGCGGTTTGATTCCAGACACAATAGGATCTCTGCAGCAGCTGGTTTATCTGTAAGGATTTCAACTTTGGTATTATTCTTCCATTTTACTGCAAGGCTAATGAACCTGCTACCTTTATTGAATTAAAACATCAAACCAAAATGGTTTTAGGAAAGCAACTTGCATTTAATAGAAGTAAAAGTCTATAATTGCATAAATTTTTCAGGCGATCAAACTCCAGAAGCAAAGTCCCACATTACTCAAACCTTGTAAGATTATGAACATGACTTCATCATGGGATTTGAAATCAGCTTGATACAAGTTCAAGTCATCATATTACTCAAAGCCTCAAACTGTTTCATCCTCCGAAATAATTGATGTTATAAAAAACCAAAAAGCACATTGATTACAAACTTTGCACGAAGTGCTAAGAAAATGGTCAATAACTACTTTCTCCATCAATTTATAAATGTAATGGAAAGATGTTTTATACAAGAATTGACTATTGCCCTTCCTCACACTCTGATTTGGAGTTAATACCTTCTTTTTTTTTTTTTTTTTTTTTTTTTTTTTTTTTTTAATTCATATAATTTAATTTTATTGTAAAACATTAATTCTTTTAATTTCTCTCTCCCTATGCATCCCAACCTTTAAACTTACTAAAGATTAAGCACTTTTCTTCTGGCCCCAAAGCTACTTCCGCACCCTCTTCATGCTTCTAAGAATTGAGAATTGAGTGAGGGATCTATTCAGTAATGAATCTTGCATCAAGATATTCGTTATCTTGATTCATATGATTTATGCTTTTACATGAGTACCTTCCACATTTTCCAGTTGAAATGTGCTGGTACACAAGATTTTGATTAACTTTATCCACTGCAGTTCCATGTCTTGGCCATAGGTCCTATTACTTGTCCTTCTGTATTCTGCAGGTCTCTAAATTCCAACAGCTTCACTGGACCAATACCACCTTCCCTTGGAAACTTATCAAATCTTTATTGGTTGGATCTAGCTGATAACAAGCTTACCGGAACCATCCCAGTCTCTAATGGGACCACACCTGGTCTAGATATGCTTGTTCATACGAAGCACTTGTATGTCCAATCTTTTTATATATTTGAGCTAACTAGTTCTTCCCTTTCTTTAATTTGCTATAATTACCTAAGATTCTTTCTGTTATTTACAGTCATTTTGGGAGCAATCAGCTTAACGGTGAAATCCCATCCAAGCTTTTTAGCTCAAGCATGGTTCTAATTCATTTGTAAGTTTCATTGAATTGGCCAATTATTACAAGATTTATACATTTGAGTCTTTGAGATGCTGCTGCACCTACATTTTTGCATACTTGCTTTTCAAGACTAGAAAAGTAGAGAGTTGTCAAGATTTCCTTTTGAAAAGAAAAATGTAGATAGAAATGTGTGTCTATATACATATAGATCGATGTCTCTTCTGAATCTTGCCTTTGAATCATTGGGAGTTTGTTCTGTTGGAACGCATAAACTTTCTATGTACAAGGCCTCTTCTGATTGCTCTCTGATGTGTGTTCAGTACATTTAGCCTGGATAAAGAATTTACCCATTTTGTGGCATTTATCCTAGCTTACGAGGAATGCTTGGTTTAATTTTCTGGAGACCCTATTTCATATAGAAAGTCTTCCAAACTGACTTTAGTTTCTTACTCTACTTTGGTACACTAATTTCAACATGCTAATAATTTGAGCAGGCTTCTTGAGAACAACCAGCTCATCGGCAAAATCCCTGCTAATTTGGGACTTGTGCAGACTCTGGAGGTGGTGTGAGTATCTCTGTCACATTCCCAATCAAAGTCATGCTAAAAAATCCTGCTGCTTTGAAATTTTGTAAATATTTTTGTGATGAACATCTGTTTTGGCAACAGACGCCTTGATAGAAACTCATTAAGTGGATCCGTTCCATCAAACCTCAACAACCTCTCGCATGTCAATGAGCTGTAAGTAGACGGAAAAAAAAAAATAAACTCATCAACTTAAGCCTCTTTACTTGTTTTTTAGGAATTCCTCACAATCCAGCTTTGACATTTCTGGTTTACCAAGAGAGGCTTTTAATTATCCACTTTCAGGTTCTTGTCCAATAATAAATTGACTGGTCCTATTCCCAATCTTACTGGCATGAATTTCCTCAACTATGTGTAAGTCCAGCAAACTCCATCAAACAAAGCAACTTAATTTACCCTCAAAAAAATTCTTTCTTTCTCAATCTAATACATATATGTATATATTATTCAGAAAGTATTGCTTTCCATTTCATTCTTTGATCAACAGTTTAATTGCAGGGACATGAGCAATAATACTTTTGACATATCGGATGTTCCTCGATGGTTTTCAACCATACTGTCTTTGACAACACTGTATGTCTCTCTCTCTCCCTCACTCCCTCATATGCATATAACTTAAATCAATAACAATTTATTCAAATCACACTACACAAATTGTTTTTGAACTTTTCACTTTATCCATGGTCTTATATACTATTAAGTCTTAGTAATCACGCCTCTCTAACAACGTCAATCATATGCTTTTAGCCTTCTTTCCCTTGAAGTCCCTCCATGGTTTTCGCTCCTTGCTGGTGCAGTTATTGGACTTTGCTACATAAAACTGAACCATGTCTGCTAACTTCATATGATTTTGTCCTCAATTTATGGGTGAATAGATATCTTTACGAACGTGTCCTTTTTTATCTACCACTCATCCTTCTACAACCATACAATCTACAGTCATTTCAGCTACACAAATTACAAACATTATGTTCTGGTTTCCTTAGCATTCCATGCCATAAGGCATGGCTGGCTTTATCATCGGTGTGTACAAATTTTCTTTAGCTTCCTATTTATGCACTGGTTAGAAAAATAGGTGTTTCGATTTTTGTCTGTCAAATCTACTGCATCCTCTTAGTTTTCATCTCACTCATATATTGAAATTTTGATTCAACCATTCTTCATTAATTCCTCAATGTACATGTTTTATTAAATTATACTGTGTGCATATCTCAGTCCTTCATTAGTTATTGTCGTTAATGATTAAACCCCTAATTTTAAAGCATCTATTCATAGTTTAATCTAGGGTGCCTATGGAAATTGGAACTGGGTCATCAGTAAACAACATACAGTATTGGATTCTGTTTTGTGAATATGTTCATAGATTTTGACAAAAGGTTTTTGATTTTCAAACTTAAAGAGTTCCCCTTTTTAGTGAGTTTTGATTTCATCAAGGTGGGACAGAATAATAGTCTATTACAAAAAATAAAAATAAAAAACCATTAACATCGTTTCCAATACATCTAGGCCTCCAAGTTATGTTATTTATTTTAACATGACTGGCTGGGTGGCTTGATATAGTAACAGTGTCTCCAAAATTTTCCAATGGTTTTATGAAGAAGATTGGAAGAGGAATCCATGTATTTTCTCTGATAACATCAGCATGAGGCACCTAAGATCATTACGGAAAAGTAATATATGCATAACTCTTTTATTATATTTGTTGCGAAATCCATGAGAATATGGTAATCATTAGACCAGGATCCAGATAGATCAACAAGTAGAGCTCTCTCTCTCTCTCTCTGTTGTCTGTCTAAATGAGTTAACTGCAAGTATAATCAGCTAAACTTGTACTGGCAGAAAGATGGAACAAACAAGACTTCAAGGAGAACTTCCAGTTGCCCTTTTTAGCCTTCCTCAACTGCAGACAGTGTGAGTATCAGCTTTTATACTGCATTTGATAATTGGATTTTTGGTACTTCAAATCAAATAAACTTGTAAATTTTCTTAGATTTGAACACAACTGGTTCTAGTCTTGTCTTATGATCGTGATAACCACAAATGTGTTGATTTGGCATATGGTGACAGCATACTGAGGAACAATGAGATAAATGGCACTTTGGATATTGGCTCCACCTACAGCAACCAACTTCAACTCGTAGATTTGCAAAACAATTTCATTTCTGGCTTCACACAAAGAGCGGGATACAACATTGAGTTAATGTAAAACTATACTCTTTGATTCATCTGACCATTTTATATCCATGATGGTAGTGAATAACTAATGATTATTTAACTCTTTGGAAGTTAAATGGACAGGATGTAATCTATTTACTGTAACATGGTTATTATCATTTTATAACCTTGTTGGTGTCTATTATTCTGTGCAGACTTGTAAACAACCCAATTTGTCAGGAAACAGGAACTACAGAAGGATACTGCACCATTAAACAGTCCAATTCCTCATATTCAACACTGGCAAATAACTGTTTGCCTGGACAATGCAGTTCAGATCAAATTTCCAGTCCCAACTGTAAATGTGCATATCCATACACAGGCACTCTATTCTTCAGATCTCCTTCATTCTCTGACCTGAGAAACACTAGTATCTATACCATTCTCCAAAACTCTCTAATGCATTCTTTTCAGTCAAGTCTACTCCCAGTGGATTCGGTTTCTCTGAGCAATCCAAGTAAAAATTTGGTTGATTACCTTGTATTGAGCCTGGAGGTTTTTCCATCTGGTCAAGACCGTTTCAGTCGGACAGAAATTAGTGGAATCGGGTTTGTGCTGAGCAACCAAACTTTCAAACCCCCACCCATGTTTGGACCCTTCTTCTTCATTGGTGACCCATATGGCTATTTTGCAGGTATTAAGTATTTCATGCAAGCTAACATGTTTTTAGAAATTATTTTGCATAGATTTAATGGAAAATTTGTTATAGTGTTTGTTATGTCTCATTATTATGCATCTCTCTCTCTCTCTCTCTGTCTCTTATCCAGGAGTAACATCTTCCGGAACGAAAAAGTCATCTCATACTGGCATTATCATCGGAGCAGCAGCCGGGGCTTCTGTCCTTGTGCTATTATTACTCCTTGCAGGGTTTTATGCTCTCCATCAAAAGAAAAGAGCCGAAAGAGCTACCAAACAAAACAATCCTTTTGGTACGATAAAATTATAGTCTAAACAAAGCAAAGCATATTATAATTAATTCTGTAATGGATTCATAAGTATTATTCATCACTTCTTGTCACATATATGCAGGATCCTGGGATCCAAACAAAAGCAGTGGTAGCATTCCTCAGTTAAAAGGAGCAAGATGTTTTTCATTTGAAGAACTTAAGAAATGCACAAACAATTTTTCTGATGCCAACGGCATCGGATCTGGTGGTTATGGGAAGGTCAAATTCAGTCGTCCTGTTATTTGTAAATAAATTGTTTGTATCTCTTTCTGGTAATATGCACCTGGTATAGCAGCCACCCCAAAGTTACAGACCATCGACCCTACCCACCCCACAAGTCCAATAGTTATCCTTTAAGATGTAGCTTGCACAAATGCAAAAATTGTATGAATTTTTTAAATTAGAAGTATATTACAACTTTTCTTTATGAAGAATACATGACCCATCTTTTAATAACTTGTGAAAATTTCAACCATGTCATGGTAAATTTAGTTTTCCTAGATTTGTGGAGTAATTACCTCTATTTTAAAAAATATGTTTATTCCCTACCCACTTAAATGCATCAAACACGAGCCTGTTCAGCTCCCCATTCAGTAGAGTGTATCATCACTCATTTTATTAACACTTGTCAACCTCAGAAAGTATTACCAAACTAATCCTGGACTGTACAATTTCCATATTCTGAATTTGGTATGATGTTTATAGGTATACAGAGGAACTCTTCCCACTGGGCAGCTGGTTGCCATCAAAAGAGCTCAGCAAGGATCAAAGCAGGGTGGTCTTGAGTTCAAAACTGAGATTGAGCTTCTATCTAGGGTTCATCACAAGAATGTTGTCAGCCTTGTGGGTTTCTGTTTCGAGCAAGGTGAACAAATGCTGGTCTATGAGTTTATTCCAAATGGCACACTCAGAGAAAGTGTTTCAGGTACTCCTTACTCATTTAGTAACCTTCTTCATCCAATATGAATTCTGACACTTTGGTTACTTATTGAACAATAACGAAATGGCAGAATCAGAAATCACTATCTTTGAGAACAGGAGTACAATGCTTCCATAGCCTCACTTCTATCAGAACTTGAAATCTAATGTTTCTAGTGCCCTTATTTTCTTTGTTATCGACAGAGTATAGATGATGTCCAATGTAGAACAACAAGGGATTTCCCTGCCATATTACCTAATTACAAGCAGCAGGGGCCTTTTTCCCAAACTCCATTTTCTGTAATCCCACAGATGTGAACTGCACTAACAGACTCATTGTAATTTGTTGGGAAGGAAGTGTACCATGGGAAACAATAGTAACCATTACATAAGATACCCATCACAACACCAACAGATAAAGCAATTGTTATTGAGTTCTTTGGAAAAGACAAGTTCCTAACTCAGTTCTCCTCGATTGCTACATATTATTCATGCAGGGAAGTCGGGAATTAGATTGGATTGGGCGCGGAGACTCCGAGTAGCCCTTGGAGCTGCAAAAGGTTTGCAATATCTGCATGTTCTTGCTAACCCTCCGATTATACACAGAGACATCAAATCAAACAATATCTTACTAGATGAGCGCTTAAATGCAAAAGTTGCCGATTTTGGTCTCTCCAAGCTTATGGGTGACGCTGAAAAGGGTCATGTCACCACTCAAGTCAAAGGGACAATGGTCAGTAAGCTATCCTCCAAACCCTGCTCTAGAAAGAACAATGTTTTGCCACAGATGAGGGGAAAAAAAGAGAGTGATGGATTTTAATTTTCATTTGTAAAGCTCATTAGAGTCAAGTTTAAAATTCATTATTCTGTGACTTCATAATCATGAGTGGCTCTTATAAAACTGAAGGTGTCACGAAATGGTTATAGCCGGAAACCCATTACTCATATTGGAGCACAAGACAACCAAATTATTCAGTAGGTTTCTGTCCAATACAACTTCCCCTCCCCTGGAGAGAATAAATTAGAAGAAGGCATCTATTTTTCTGCACCAACACATGAATAATAGATATCAAAACATGGGAGTAGATTTTCTGGAGTCATCTCCCTACTTTTGTGAAGTATGAATTTAAGCTTTAATACATGTGTTTTTTTGAAAAAAAAGAGAGAGAGTTGGGAAATCAAAAAAAAGAAAGAGAGTTTTTTAATACATCCAGGATCAAGTACATTTTCCCACTTTCAAGCAGTAATTTCTGCTTCTAGGCCGAGCCCAAACACACACATGCACATACAGTACTTAACTGTTGGAAGGTAACACTTGTCACATTTATGAGCGAGTCATCGGTTATGACCCTGCAGTTTCTGATAACAGAACTCAAAAGCTGATACCAGAGAGAGCACATCGTAGTGGTGTGCAAAATGTCTGGTTTATCATTGATAAAGAAACATATCATTTTCTTTTGCTAAAATGAATCCCAAGTGTTTAGCATATTAATACAATGGCAATAGGACTTAGTTCATTGTGATTCTACAATTCTGCTTTGGTGTTTTGGAATATAAGTAGATTTATTTATTTATTTATACAGGGCTACTTGGATCCTGAATATTACATGACCCAGCAGTTGACTGAGAAGAGTGATGTTTATAGTTTTGGGGTGCTACTGCTTGAGCTGATAACTGCAAGAAGTCCCATCGAGAAAGGAAAATATATTGTAAGAGAGGTGAAGCGAGCAATGGATAAGACAAAAGATCTGTATAACCTTCACGGGATTCTTGATCCGGCCATTGTTTTGGGCACCTCACTTAAAGGTTTAGAGAATTTCGCGGATTTGGCAATGAGTTGTGTTGAAGAATCAGGAACTGACAGGCCTACAATGAGCGAGGTGGTGAAAGAGATTGAGAACATCATGCAATTGGCTGGTTTGAATCCCAATGCTGAATCAGCATCCACTTCAGCGAGTTATGAGGGCGCGAGTAGGGGATACGAGCATCCTTACAGTAATGAGAGCCTATTTGCCTACAGTGGGGGTTTTGTTCCTTCAAGGTTAGAACCCCAGTAAGTATCTCTGTACATTTTGAATGCTGAAACTGGTTGGTGTTTTATGCAACATTGAAGATCCAAAACAGTGACTGAAGCATACCTCGGTCCTCCATCTCCATTCACCACTTCCAGGACAGCAATAGCTTGTGAATAACAAAAATGAGTGTGCTGTAAGTCTTATATAATTTATATAAAAGAACCAGAAAAGGTACAATGAAAAATATATTTGTTGTACTTATCAAAAATATATATATATTTGTTGTAGTAATTATAATTCAATTGATTTGCTGTAAATTTTTCATGGAATGCATTATTGGGGTTATTATTAATATTTTTGTAAGGAAATTTTTTTTGGGTTGTTATGCTTGGTGGTGGTTTTGTTGGTGTTGGTGCCTGTATGTGTGGTACCTTTGCATTTGCATTGATGCTAATGGAGGGAGGAAGGAAGACTCATCTGAAGTGTGGTCATGTGGATTGTTGCAGTGTCTATTGAAAAAAATTATTTTGTACTTTTAGTTGCATCAAATGCAGGCAAAAGATTACCCAAAATAGTCAAATAAGCATCTTTCTTACTGAATTCATGTATATGAACTCTTACAACATCATATATATATTATAAAATCATGTCATGTATTCATTGTATAAAACTCCATACAGCTATAATTCCAACTCTTTGCTTTATCCAGCACCAGCAGGGCTGAGAAGTACACTTGTTCTGCTTATTTTGCAGCACCCTTTCCTCAACTATTTGGTACACAATGTTAATGCATTTCAAAAGCAAAAGCTCCAAGTATAACTGAGTTAGGTAGGATTGGCAATGGTCTGACTGCTATGAAGCACAGATATCTTTCCGAATGAGTCGTACCTGTGTCGGACACCGACACTCATCGGACACTCCCCCGACACATGTTCGACCCTTGTTTGTAAATAAAAATTTATTATTTTGGACACTCTCACTTTCACACTTCTTGAACACTTGGTGGATACTTTCAAACACAAGCTATTTGGTAATCTTAAAAATAAAATGAACAAGCAAAAATATTAAATGATATTTGTTCATTTAAAATAAAAACACTATTATAACAAAATAGCAAAATAACTATATATATGATTTAAAAATCATTACAACTCTTACTATAAACAAAAAATCATATTTACCAATGGGCCAGTGACCTAGCGGTATCAAGAAGAAAAGTGTAATTTTTGCGGTCTACCTCTCTCAGATTTTGTTCGAACCATCTAACACGGAATGAAATAAACACAACAAATTTAAAAAAGTAAAACACAAATATGAAATGGACAATAAATATGATTTTTTTTTTTTTGGTCATTTTGAAGTTGGGACGAATTTGAGACTGTCTCATTATCCATAATTTAAACAAATAAATATAAACGATTTCAAGAAAAAAAAAAAAAAAAATGGACTTTCATATAATTTCAAAAAAAAAAAAAACAAAACAAAACAAATGAGCCTTTCTCTGTTATCATGAATTGTTTCTCTCTCATCATTTGCCTTTTCTTTTTATTCTCTCGCGCCACTCTTTTCTCCCTCCCTCATCATTTTTTCTCTCTCCATCTCTCATAATCTCTTTCACTCCACGGTTTTCTCCCTCTCTCTGTCAACGACTCTCGAGCGAGACCTTGGCGAGAGGCGGCGCGGGGAGGAAGGGGAGGGAGTGGAGGCTGAGGTCGGCGGCGATGGCAGATTTGAAAGAGCGGACGGAGGAGTCGAGGCAGAGGACGAGCTGCCAGGTGCGCCGGTGGTGGTGGTGGCACCACCGACTATGGCGGTGTAGGTGGTCGTTCATTCGCCGGAATACATGGTGGTGGTGGTTGTAGGGGATGGTGGTAATGGCGCCGCCGGTAGTGGTGGTGTTTGTGTTAACGATTACACAAAAAAGAGACCCATTGTCTAAAATTGACTAAAATAATGAAGTCTATATCAGTTCACACTTCACCTTCATCCCCTTATTCACATAACTTCATTACGTTCACATCTCTTTCTTGCAAGTCGTAACCCTAATTGGGTAAGACTTGCAAGAAACGGGCAACTTGTTTTGAATGTTTCTTAGGAGAAAATTACCCAAGAAGAAACTGATTAACTCAAAAAGAAAAAGGAAATCAAAACAAGTTACAGTCAATTTGCAGATACGGGCTTAAGCCTTTCATCTTCCTGAGGAAGTATTCAAATACCCACTACCAAAAGCAAGCTGTTGAAATAGGGTTAAAAAAAAATAAAAAATAAAAAATAATAAAAAAACACTGTAGTTATTGACTTTGAATTTTTGATGAGCCATTTATATTATTTTTTCAAAGAGATATTTATTTGATGGTGATTTTTTGTATTGATGAGAATAAATAAGTTATTTATCAATATACATTCATAAAATGATAGATATACTACAGGCATTTGCAAAAGTGGGAAGAGTTGGTGACTTGGTGTAGAATGCTATTATTGACTAATTGCATTTGTATGTGTGAACACAATAGAATTAAATGACAAAACAAGTGTCATTAAGAAAATTTCTTGTGCTGAAGGTTTCAGCTAATGAATATTATTTTTTTCGAACTGTTCAGCTAATGAATATTGGAAAGTGAAATAAATAGCTTTTTAGATTTGAACTTCATAATATTTTGGTAATGGGTTCAAGAATTCAGGTGTTTATGGTGGTTATTTCCATCCAAATATTGGTTATAGCAGCGCAGCAGCCTAATCAAGATTGTAAGTTCGTTTAATTCTTATTTCTAATTTTTCATTTGTTTAGTCAGTGTTTGATGTTTAAAGTGTTTGCAGATGTTTATGTGAGAGCTGAAATATCTGTTTGCAACCTACTCTACTTTAACTTCCTTTCCAAGTCCTCATTATTACAAATTTCTTCATTTTCTTTGAAGTCTTTCATTTGCTTGCTGTTTGGTCGCAGAGAAAATGAAGGAAATCAAAGAAATGGATTTATAATTTATGTATGCATTTTTTTTACCCTTTTTGTGGGTTGCAAATCCAGACAAGTCAGCTTCACTAAGCAAAATTTGTAAGGCTTAGTATAGTTTCCTAGAAATTTGAGTTCTTGCAGTTCCCATATGATTGAATTTTGAAATTTTAAGAAATTTGGTTGTATGAACTCAACATATGTTCTGCCATTAATCTGGAGTGGATTCAATAGTTTCTGCTTGAGGATGTGGTTTCCGGCAACAAAACCTTATTGTTATTATTTTGGCTTTCCTTTTAACTTTGATGCAGATGCTGCATTAAAGGCACTCATGTCCGGCATGAAGAACACACCACCCAGTTGGGTAAGCTTCGATCCATGTGGTGATAATTGGGAAGGCATTACATGTACCGATTCACGTGTGACTTCGATGTATCTCGCTCAACTTGTTTTCATCTTTTGATGCTTACAGAAGTTAGATAATTCTGCCATTTTCGTACTTTCGAGCTTAATCTAACAAATTTCAATTTCAGAACATTAGCAAGCATGAATTTGACTGGACAGCTGTCTGGAGACCTCCAAAACTTATCTGAATTACAGACTCTGTAGGTCTTCTATTTGCACTATTTATCTTCTCTCACAAATTGATCCAATATATAACTGACTAACCCCATCGTTCAGTTTCGATTGTTCTTCGTGGACTGCTATTCTTCTTTGACTTTTTGGGATGCCATAATTTTGCCAGATCTTTTTATCCTTAGCAGATGCTCCTTGTAGCTAACTATTTCCGAATTTCATAATAGAACTATGAATATGCTCTTTATTTGGTGTCATTAGCTTATATTTCTTCTAACTAAACACTTAAATTTTCAAAGAATTTAAGGAATGTCTGTATTTGGGGTAATGTGAGTTCAAAAGTTGGTTGACTGTCATGGGGGAAGAAAGGGTAGTGACCAAAGTAATAAGAGAAATGAGGTCATAGAAGCTATCAAAAACAAAATATATTCATTTCAACTACTGGGTTAGGCTCAGCAAATAACACCTCTATGACGAAGTCACAACTGATAAATATCATTTCCAGGTAACAACTGATGACTTTGTAAAATCTTCAAGAAGAAATGACCTAATATTAAATTTAGAGTGCTACTATTCTACGTAGGAGTTGTTCTTTATATCAATAAAAACATTGTTATAGTTATAATTACAGATGTGGGCCAGAATAATAGTGGAAACTCTCACTTTGTTACGATGACTGATGTGTACTCGATCTCTCTCTTTCTCCTTCCCTCCCTGCAAACAGAGATCCATGGATATTTGTGTATATTTGACTTCAATGCCTAATCTGACATGATAAACTACCATCAATAGACTTTGGTTGTGCTTTTCTTTATTGATTGTGACTACCTGAAATTATCTTTGTTTCTTGTAAGTATTTTGAGGTAATATCTCATTATCAGCTTCTGCATATAGGGACCTTTCATACAACAAGGGTTTGACAGGATCTATTCCTCCAATTGGAAATTTGAAGAACTTGTCCAACTTGTAAGGAAATATTGATTGATATGTAGAGTATTAGCTAACAACTAACATGGCTGATTGGAATCCTCTTATAAAACAACCGCTTCTACTTGCATGGCAGAATCTTAATTGGTTGCAGTTTCAGTGGTCCGATTCCAGACACTATAGGATCTCTAACACAGCTGGTTTTTCTGTAAGGATTTCAACTTTGGTATTTTTCTTCCATTTTACTTGAAGGTTAATGAACCTGCAATATTTATTGGATCAATATTTAATGGAAAGAACTATCTTTAATCAATTTGTATACAATAATTGACTATCGCCCCTCCTCATACTCTGATTTGAAGTTATACCTCTTTTTAATTCATACAATTCAATTTTATTGTAAAACATTAATTCTTTTATCTCAGCTCTCCCTATCCTATGCATCCCAAAACTTTAAACTCACTAAAGATTAAGCACTTTCACTCTTCTGGTCCCAAAGCTACTTCCGCCCCGCTCCTTTTCATGCTTCTAAGAATTCAGAATTGCTTGAAGGATCTATTCTGTAATTAATCTTGCATCAAAATATTCATCATCTTGGTTGATAAGATTTATGCTTTTACATGTGAACGCTCCACATGTTCCAGTCGAAGTGTGCTGGTACACGAGATTTTGATTACTTTTTCCAGTGCAGTCCCTTTTCTATATTCCAATTAATCGTCCTTCTGTATTCTGCAGGTCTCTAAATTCCAACAGCTTCACCGGATCAATACCACCTTCCATTGGAAACTTATCAAAACTTTATTGGTTGGATCTAGCTGATAACAAGCTTACAGGAACCATCCCAGTCTCTAATGGGGCCACACCTGGTCTAGATATGCTTGTTCATACGAAGCACTTGTATGTCCAATCTTTTTTTATATATTTGAGCTAATTAGTTCTTCTCTTACTTTAATTTGTTTTGCTTACCTAAGCTTCTATCTGTTATTTACAGTCATTTTGGAATAAATCAGCTCTCTGGTGAAATCCCATCCCAGCTTTTTAGCTCAAACATGACGCTAATACATTTGTAAGTTTCATTGAATTCTCCAATTACAAGATTTATACATTTGAGTCTTTAAGATGCTGCTGCACCTACATTTTTGTATACTTGCTTTGCAAGACTAGAAGAGAAGAGAGTTGTCAAATTTTCATATTGAAAAAATAAATAAAAAATGTTGGTAGAAATGTGTGTGTATATTTACATATTTAAATTGAAGTCTTCTTCTGAATCTTGCCATTGAATCATTGAGAGTTTGTTCCGTTGGAACACACTTTCTTTTCTATGTATAAGGCCTCTTCTGACTGCTCTTTGATTTGTGTTCAGTACATTTAGCTTGGATTTTATTATTGTTGTAGTCTCCCTCAAAAAGGAAAGAATAAAAAGAATTTACTCTTGATTTAGTTTTCTGGAGACCCTACATCGCATAGAAACTCTTCCAAACTGACTTTAGTTTCTTAATCTACTTTGGTACACTAATTTCAATATTCTAATATAATTTAATTTAAGCAGGCTTCTCGAGAACAACAATCTCACTGGCGAAATCCCTGCTACTTTGGGACTTGTGCAGTCGCTGGAGGTAGTGTGAGTATCTCTGTCACACTCCCAAGCAAAATCATGCTAAAAATTATTGCTTCTGTGAAATAATGCGAATGTTTTTGTGATGAATATTTTGTTTTGGCAACAGACGCCTTGATAGAAACTCATTAAATGGATCCGTCCCATCAAACCTCAACAACCTCTCGCATGTCAGTGAGCTGTAAGTAGACAAGAAAAAACTCATCAACTTAAGCCTCTATACTTGTTTTTTAGAAATTCCTCATTATCCTGCATTTGCTTTTTTTGTTTACCAATAGAGGCTTTTAATTATCCACTTTCAGGTACTTGTCCAATAATAAACTGACTGGTCCTGTTCCCAATCTTACTGGCATGAATTCCCTCAACTATGTGTAAGTATAAACCATATTACAAACTCCAGAAAATAAAGCCACTTGATTCACCCACCAAAAATGCTTTCTTTCTCAAACGAATATTTTTTATTCAGAAAGTATTGCTTTCCATTTCATTCTTTGACCAACAGATTAATTGCAGGGACATGAGCAATAATACTTTTGACATATCAGATGTTCCTCCGTGGTTTTCAACCATACAGTCTTTGACAACACTGTATGTCCCTCTTTCTCTCTCTCTTTCTCACACACACACACACACACACACACACACACACTGACACATGCATATGACTTAAATCAATAGCAATTAATTCAAATCACACGCTACACAGATTGTTTTTGAACTTTTCACTTTATCCACGGTCTTATATACTATTCTCAGTAAGCATGCCTCTCTAACAATCTCAATCTTGTGCTTGTAGCCTTCTTTCCCTTGAAGTACCTACTATTCAAAATGCCTTGCTCCTTGCTGGTGCATTTATTGGACTTTGCTACGTAAAACTGAACCATGTCTGCCAACTTCCTCTCATTCTGTCCTCAGTTTATGGGTGAATAGATCTGTTTACAAATGTGTTCTTTCTTATCTACCACACGTCCTTCTAAAAACGATACAATCTATAGTCATTTTGGCTACACAAATTACAGATGTTATGTTATGGTTTTTTCCTAGCACTCTGTTCCATAATGCATGGCTGGCTTTATGGTCGGTTAGTAATATATGCACTAATTAGAAAAATAGGCATTTCGATTTCTATCCGAGTCAAATATTTGGGTAGAAACCACCAAAGGTTGTAGCCTAGTGGTACTTACTCACCTTCCAAAGTAGAAGTCGAGGGTTCAAGTCCCCATAGGGGCAAGTGGGTGTGTGAATATGTTTCTTGCCAAGATAAAATAAAATAAAATATCAATGGGTAGGATCCTCTTAGTTTTCATCTCTCTCATATATTAATTGAAATTTTGATTCAATCATTTTTCATTAATTCCTTAATGTACTTGTTTTATCCCCTTATTCTAAAGCAACTATTCATAGTTTTTTTTTCCCTAGTTGGTGAGTACTCACACACACATGCCTCCACCGAGGTTCGAACCCCTTACCTCCTTTGGAAAGTAGGGGCCTGATACCGCTAGGCCACTGACCTGTTGATATAGAATATGGTAGCTACGGAAAATGAAACAGGGTCATCAATAAACAACATACAGTATTGGATTCTGTCCTGTGCATGAATGTGTTCATAGATTTTGACAAAAGGTTTTTGATTTTTAACTTGGGAGTAATATTCTCCCCTTTATAGTGAGTTTTGATTTCATCAAGGCCTCCGAGTTATAAAAAAAAATCCCTTTAACTTTGTTTACAATACATCTAGGCCTCCAAGTTATATGATTTTTTATCCTAACATGACTGGCTGTATGGCTTGATACTGTAACAATGTCTCCAAAATTTTCCCAGGGTTGTATGGAGAAGATTGAAAAAGGAATTCATGTGTTTTCTCTGATAACATCAGCACAAGCTACCTAAGAATATTACGGAAAATTGATATATGCATTACTTTTTTATTATATTTGTTTGCAAAATCCTTGAGAAGAAGGTAATCATTGAATGAGAAGGAAGCATACAGTTAAAATTGCCATAGGATGAAGGGTCTCACAAAAATTTCACCTAATTTTCCCCCTTTCTCATAGCATGGGAATAAAAGTTAGTCTAATACAAGTAGAGCTCTCTCTCGCTCTCTCTCTCTGCCCCTCTGCGTTGTCTGCATAAATGAGTTTAACTGTAAATATAATCAGCTGAACTTGTACTGGCAGAATGATGGAACAAACACAACTTCAAGGAGAACTTCCAATTGCCCTTTTTAGCCTTCCTCAACTGCAGACTGTGTGAGTATCAGCTTAATACTGCATTTGATACAATGGATTTTCATTATTTCCAATCAAATAAACTTGTAATTTTCTTAGATTTGAACACAACTGGTTCTAGTCTTATCTTATGATTGTGATAACCAATGCGTTGTTTTGGCATATGGTGACAGCATACTGAGGAAAAATAAGATAAATGGCACCTTGGACATTGGTTCCCCCTACAGCAACCAACTTCAAGTAGATTTGCAAGACAATCTCATTGATGCCTTCAGACAAAGAACGGGATACAACATTGAGTTAATGTAAAACTATACTCTTTGATTCATCTGTCCATTTTAATGGTTATTTGACTCTTTGAAAGTTAAATTGAGAGGATATAATCTATTTACTGTTGTTTGGTTATTATAATTTTATAACCTCGTTGGTGTTTATTATTCTCTGCAGACTTGTAAACAACCCAATTTGTAAGGAAACAACAGCAACTACAGAACCATACTGCACCATTACACAATCCAACTCCACATATTCAACACCTGAAAATAACTGTTTGCCTGTAAAGTGCAGTTCAGATCAAATTTCCAGTCCCAACTGTAAATGTGCATATCCATACATGGGCACTCTATTCTTCAGATCTCCTTCCTTCTCCAACCTGAGAAACACTAGTATCTATGAAATTCTCCACAACGCTCTACTGGAATCTTTTCAGTCAAGTCTTCTCCCAGTGGATTCGGTTTCTCTGAGAAATCCAACTACAAATTTGAATGATTACCTTGAATTGAGACTGGAGGTTTTTCCATCTGGTCAAGACCGTTTCAATCGGACAGCAATTCTTGAAATTGCGTTCGTACTAAGCAACCAAACATTCAAACCCCCACCCGAGTTTGAACCCTTCTATTTCATTGCTGACCCATCATACGATTTTGCAGGTATTAAGTATTTCATGCAAGCTAATCTGTTTTTCAGAAGTCTTTCAAATAGATGTAATGGAAATTTGTAATAATGTTTGTCATGTCTCATTGCTATGAATCTCTCTCTCTCTCTCTCTCTCTCTTTCATGTCTCATTGCTATGAATCTCTCTCTCTCTCTCTCTCTCTCTCTCTCTCTCTCTCTCTCTAATCCAGGAGAAGCATCTTCTGCAACAAACTCTCATACTGGCATTATCATTGGAGCAGCAGCCGGGGCATCTGTCCTTGTGCTATTATTACTCCTTGCAGGGTTTTATGCTTTCCATCAAAAGAAAAGAGCTGAAAGAGCTAACAAACAAAACAATCCTTTTGGTACGATAAAAAAACTAGTCTAAGCAAAGCAAAGCATGAAATAACTCCTCCTTTAATGGATTCATGAGTCTTACTTATTGCTTCTTGTCACATATATGCAGCATCCTGGGATCCAAATAAAAACAGTGGTAGCATTCCACAGTTGAAAGGAGCAAGATGTTTTTCATTTGAAGAACTTAAGAAATGCACTAACAATTTTTCAGACGCCAACAGCGTCGGATCTGGTGGTTATGGGAAGGTCAGATTCAATCTTCTTGTTATTTGTAAATAAATTGTTTGTTGGTCTCTCTTTTCTGGTAATATGCACCTGGTCGCACCCAAGTGAATCAAACCTCTCTCCTATGGGGAGTATATTCCTCCAGATTCTGAATTTGGTATGATGTTTATAGGTATATAGAGGAACTCTTGCCACTGGGCAGCTGGTTGCCATCAAAAGAGCTCAACAGGGATCAATGCAGGGTGGGCTTGAGTTCAAAACTGAGATTGAGCTTCTATCGAGGGTTCATCACAAGAATGTTGTCAGCCTTGTGGGTTTCTGTTTCGAGCAATGTGAACAAATGCTGGTCTATGAGTTTATTCCAAATGGTTCACTGACGGATAGTCTTTCAGGTACTCTTACTCATTTAGTAACCTTGTTCACCCAATATGAATTCTGATACTTCTAGTGCTTTGGTTACTTATCGTCCTTTAGAGTAAGAGCATTACTAATTATGTGACCAAATACCTTGAACCTAGCTGAGAAAACAATCAGCATCTTTGAGAACAGGAGTACAATGCTTACATAACCTCACTTCTATCAGAACTTGAAATCTAATGTTTCTAGTACCCTTATTTTCATTGCCATCCATAGGATATAGATGATATCCAATGTAGAGCCACAAAAGATTTCCCTACCATTTTACATAAGCAGCAGAGGCCTTTGTCCCGAACTCCATTTTCTGTAATACCACACATTGCTGGGGAGGAAATGTGATGGGAAGTGTGGAGCTGTGGAGCACAGAATGCTTAACTGGACAAAATAACTCGTCACTGACTACCTTAGGTGAAAGGTGGGGTTCTGGGGTCCTATTATAGTTTTTCACACTTGTTATGTAGCCTAAGTCTATAGGAGTATGGTGGCGGGCAGTGGTATATAAATAATCCTGAACTACTGAACTCTGTAATTGTGTGCCGTTTCTCATTGTAGTGAAATCCCTGCAACTCCGTGGACGTAGCCCAGGTTTTGGGTGAACCACATAAATCTTATTTTCTTGATTGTGTTCTTGTTCTGTTTTTTCTGTTAATTTTTGCAACAAAATGTACCATGAGAAACAGTAGTAAGCATTGCATAAGATACCTATCACATCACCAACAGATAAAGCAGTTTTTATCATGCTCTTTGGAGATGACAAGTTCCTAACTCAGTTCTCCTTGATTGCTACATATTATTCATGCAGGGAAGTCGGGAATTAGATTGGATTGGGTGCGGAGACTCCGAGCAGCCCTTGGAGCTGCAAGAGGTTTGCAATATCTGCATGTTCATGCCGACCCTCCGATTATTCACAGAGACATCAAATCAAATAATATCTTACTGGATGAGCGCTTAAATGCAAAAGTTGCTGATTTTGGTCTCTCCAAGCTTATGGGTGACCCAGAAAAGAGTCATGTCAGCACTCAAGTCAAAGGGACAATGGTCAGTAAGCTATCCTCCAATTAAAAGAAAATGTTTTGCTACATATGAGGGAAAATAAGAGTGATGGCTTTAAATTTCATTCCAATAATAAGAGTAGATTATTTTTTTATTTATTTTTGTGTTTTTTTATATAGGGCTACTTGGATCCTGAATATTACATGACCCAACAGTTGACGGAGAAGACTGACGTGTATAGTTTTGGAGTGCTACTGCTGGAGTTGATAACCGGAAGAGGTCCCATCGAGAAAGGAAAATACATCGTGAGAGAGGTGAAGCGAGCAATGGATAAGACGAAAGATCTATACAACCTTCACGAAATTCTTGATCCGGCCATTGGTTTGGCCACCTCACTGAAAGGTTTAGAGAAGTTCGTGGATCTGGCAATGAGTTGCGTTGCAGAATCAGGAACTGACAGGCCTACAATGAGTGAAGTGGTGAAAGAGATCGAGAACATCATGCAGTTGGCTGGTTTGAATCCCAATGCTGAATCAGCATCCACTTCGGTGAGTTATGAAAGCACGAGTAAGGGATTCGAGCACCCTTACAGTAATGAGAACCTCTTTGCCTACAGTGGGGGTTTTGTTCCTCCAAAGTTGGAGCCCCAGTGAGTATCTCCATGCATTTTGAATGCTCAAAATTGGCTGCAGTTAGCTGGTTCTCTGACTTTATTTGAGTATGTGTAATTGCCTAGAGCCTGTGATACTTTTACGACATCTAAGATCCAAACTTTAATTGAGTGTGTTGCAAATCTTGGATACTTTATAGAAATGAGCAAGAATAAGTAACTATATTTCAATTGATTTGTTGTAAATTTTTCATGGAATGCGCTATTGCTTCTGGTACACTGCCAAGATTCGGGTGGCAATTTGTAATCCTCCCTTGTATCCTTGGTTGCAGGTTTCTTCAGTATGGTTGTCCTTCCTTTCCTTTTTTTATTATTATTATTTTATTTTTAATGTTTTCTTTTGTTTTGGAGGACATTTTAAATAGAGAAATAAATAAACATTGGGACTACAGTCTGTATTAACCAGATGGTTTTACACTGGATGAAAACCATCATGATGTTTTCAACCGAGATGATTGGGCAATGTAGATTTATTGGAATATTATTATTATTTTTTCAGCAACTTTTTTGGGTTATTCTGCTGGCTCTCCCTCTCTCTCTCTCTCTCTCTCTCTCTCTCTCTCTCTCTCTCTCTCCATTGATTTCACCAGAAGGGCTGAGAAGTACCACTTGTTCTTATCGATTCCATGATCAATCTTCATGCCCCAAGTTTCATGGTTCTCAAGTGTGATGCCAATGATGTGCCCAGTACATTTTCTCAATAATTTGCCACACAATGATATTGACATTCAAAATAAGCTCATGGGACAAACACTCATATAATTGAGTTAGGGTTCACAGTACACTAACCATGGGAATTTAAAAAACCATTTTTGGAATGCAGTACAATCAACAGATCACACTGACTTCTCAAGCATGTGTACCCTCTTGCTTCCAATTCAAAATGACTCTACACACTTTCCTCCAATGTTTATATGTAATGTACTAAGATAATTCGTCTTAAAACCCTAACTACGAAACCTATAGCAATAAATAGATTTCATCCTATCCCATTCTTGGATGGAACTTGTGAGAGCTGATGGCAAGCCTTGCCCATTGACATAACGATACTGACCTCATTGTTTCGGTGGTTTGGATGGTTGTAGAGGTTGGTCATGCTGAGAAGTGTCCACAGAAGCTCTAGCACCAGTTGTTTGCAAGAAAATAAAGACTAGTTTTTAAATGAAAACAAAACACATACAAACTCAAACCCAGTCACTTGCACGCAACGAAAAGGGTCATTTGTCATGCTCCAGTCAGTGGAGAAAATAAATGCCTGACAATCTCATTCTGAGATTGATTTTGTATAATCTTAGATCGACACTTGACAGTACAGATTAAAATATCAGGTCTCTTACATGTGAATATTCTTTTAATCGAACAATGTGCAATGCTAACCCAAAACTTGCAATGTATTGCAAACTGCTGTAACAAGTCCTTAAATCATGAAGTTACTTTAGAAACAACTGCAAGAGCAAGCATAAGAATATGCATTCAAATAAAACCCAGACCGAAATGCACCAACCTCCGTAAATATTTCCACCATATATAGAACATAAATCCCATATAATTTGGACAACACAGAAACATACAAGACTAGTGAAAATGGAAATCCCATCAGTAGTTACCTAATTATGAACTTGAAATGGGCCACTTGTCTTGCCTACTTTTCCTTTGAAAGAGTAACAAGAAAGCTCTAAACCCTTTTTGTGCCTCGTTTGATTGAAATGTAGCCTTTCCACAGATTTAAACTCTAGCCCTCTTGGTACTGCAACTAGGGCACTTGTACTGCTTGATATGCTCAGCCTTTGCAGGTGTGATCTTTACACATTTTCCATGGAACCATCTCTCGCACACATCACAGCAAATCCAGAATTCATCATGGGCATAGTTATCGCCGCAAGCTCCACATAATGTTGCTCCCTGTTCATCTTCTTCTTCTTCCTCCCCACTCTCACCCTCTTCTTTATGTGGAGGAGAAATCTTTACTCCTTTAGGTTGGGGAACGGATTGCCGAGGTTGCTATAAGGCAGCAAAAAAATAAGCAACAGATAAAATATTGACACAAAATTGAAAAAAAAAAAAGAATACCAGAAAAATAAGTAAAAGGAAAAACAAAGGGCGCACATACACACACAATAGATTTATAGGAGGTGGTAATGCTTACCATATTTCCACTAGATTTACTTTTGCTACTATTGTTGTGAGCAGCAGGCTGGTCTTTTGACTGCTTAACAGTTCCTGTCACAACTTCAAATACAGTTGGTAGATCATTTATCATCTGGAAAAGCCTCTTCCTGTAAATTCCATTTCCAACCAAAGTTAGAAAGATCACAAGTATGAATGGTCATTTTCTGAGATGGTTTGAAAGAAAAGTTTGAGCATTGTAGAGCCTTATTCCTTGGCAAAACAAGTGGGGCAGCATTCAATTCCCTCTGAGCATTCTACAAAATCTACACCTTGAAGGTAGTTCCTCAAATGAGTTACTGTTCTGGACCTTATGGAATTCATTGTCAATTTGATTTCAGAACCGTCATCCACAAGGGAATCAATCAACGTGTACTGACAGAGAGTCTGACTATACTGTTGGGCTTTCGGAAGGCCAAAGATGACCAGTATATACACTCAATATTGCAACTTATTCATTCAAAGAAAGGAAATACGTACAACATAAATGGCAGAAATTCCAGCCACCAATATAAGTAGAGTTTGAGTCTTCTTTTAACAGTCTTAAATTCGGTGTTAAAAGGAGTTCACTGTGACTCATATTCATGACTTTGAGAAATCTTGGCAAAAAGAAGTGTATGCTTTAGATTCATAGACACAATACCCTATTGTTTGTATCCTTTTTCCTTTTAAAGTCATCAAACATATATATATATATGGCGCAGGAGAACAGAACTATATAACTCATTATATATAGAAATGCATTTTTCAAGATTTGGAAAGCATGGAAATGAATTTTTTTTTGGTTGTATGTTATCTTTCCCCATGACTTATTCCATTTATTCATGCTGGTGTGCTAGTATCATGCCGGTATGCCTCAGTATGCAGTGATGACAGGAATACTTATTGATAACATCATCCTTCGATTACATACGAAATCCCTAATTTAATGACAGTTGTTCCAAGTTAAATAACTGATTCTGTGCTTCAAAAACCAAAACTTTCTTTTAAAGGTCTACTCAAACAACCACCAGAGAGAGAAGAAAAACTTCTAGTTTCGGTGGGATCATAAACCTAAGGTCTAATACCAAACTTTTAAAGTCCACTTTATGACTGTAGTAAGTGAGAGACGAGAGAGAAAGACAATGACAAAGAGCACACATTAGGATCATACAAAAGTTCAAAAACTAACAACAATACTAACACAGTGCCAATGCCACATGGACACTTCAAAAAAAGAACCATGAGTTCATGACACATGAGTTGCTGTTGTGCATGAAAAGCATGTCAATGTGCAATTACACATGTCAATGGGGAAAAAAGCTAAAAGAAAAGGAGAAGTGCCTCGCAGCATAGCCAAAAGAACTTTCATAATACTGCTCCAAGAGAGGGAAAGGTCTCTGACAAGCCAAAACCATAAGCAACCTCCTTATAATAAAACAAGAGAAGCAAAGGATTGGAAGCACTTTTACTTTGTAGGCACAATGAAACTACAATAAAAGATATATCAAACTTTTGATCTTTAATAAGATTTTCCATCACAAAATAAAATAAACCCATATAACTAAGGTACCTTTCTGTCGACTCCATAACACCACAAGTGAAAACATTCAGCAAAATCATTATTAGCACCATGAACGACAGCCTATGTTAATCATCATCATCACCATCATCCTTTTCTTTCCCACTCACTACTAGTAAGAACTAAGAAGAATTGCTTTTAGTAGGTTGACAACAGGGATAGCAGTTACAGGACTTGTGCTGCAGATATTGACTAGATGTATAAAAGACTGTAAATACTTCTAGTTACATCTAAAAAGAGTTAGAGCATCAACATCTAACCACAATAAGTATTGCATGTAGTAGGTTGATAACTGGGAAGCATTTACAGAATTTGTGCTGCAGAAATTCATTAGATGTATAGAATAACGCAAATACTTCTAATTAGATCTAAAAGTGTTGTTGCTTAAGCATCTAACCACAATGGCTTAAAAGAAAGGTACAGGGAAATTTGACATTCAGACAAGATAAACTAAAGAAAATGTCATTAAGTTCTAGAAAAGATATTACCTTTCACTTTTACCAAACCCGAAGCGTGCCCCAAAATAGAATGCAACAGAAAGCAACCACGAATCACTGTGAACTGCAACTAGTGATAACCAGTCCTTCTCTTGCATCCCATCCCTAGCAAAGTTGATACCTAATGCTGGCTCAGGAAGTTCAGGAGGCACCTCCTCAACAGGCAGGTTGACTTCCCATGCCTCATTTGGAAGACCATACAGACACAAGTTCTCCTTCTCTGTGAGCACAACATTGAAACGTTCAGAAACAACAAAGCAGCTGATTTGACAGCATCAGAAATAAAGACCAGAAGTGCAGATTCTAATTCAAAACAAAATTCATTCTAAAATATCAAGGAAACGAGGACACAGTGCATCAGCAGATTCAGCACAAAGGAAATTATATTACCATGCTAAATCTAAGTTTTACTCTACAACTTGAGAAGGATGAAAAAGTTAAAGAGTAAAAGAAATATAATACACTAGTGGCTACAGTAACTATATAGCGATATATGAGGAATAAGAAAACAAATTGAACTCGTTAACTTCAGTAACTAACTGCAGTTGCAAAGAACAGTAAGAAGAGAGTGTTAGCAGGTCATACATTTAAAACCAAATATTAAGGAAAATAATATATCAAAATAATGAAATTTGATATATTCCAACAGCAATGAGGTCAATATTATGAAAAATGTCAGTATGTAAAGTATACCCTGAGTAAACTAATCTTTCTAAAGAAAATGATAGAAAACAGTCAGGGTATTTTCTTATCTGCTTAATGATTCAACTTTTAGGTGAGATAGTTGATCAACCCATAGGTACTAGTCTTATTTTTCCTTTTTCCTTAATGATTCTAGACACAATGAGACATGTCAAAACTTAGGCTCGTGCAACCAAGTACGGGCTTAGAACAAAGTGTGCCAAACCATTAACTAATGAAAATAATAATAATTTGTAAGAGAAGTCTCTTTAGCAATAAATAAACTAGTGTACTCTTTTCTTTTAATAAGACACTAACATCCAATTATGTAGGCGGCCTTCTACAGTTTAGACATTGTGAAAATTCAAAATTTACCTCTCTCAACTTTGTGCCTCTCAGTCACAAGCCTACAAGAGTGTCTCTCTACTCTGCTTATACCCTTGACGAGCACCATCTCACAACAATCCCCTGCCTTAAACCACAGATAGGAACAAAACTTACAACTTCTACTCGAAGAACAAAACCTAGAATATTTTGGAACTACATGCTTCATATGGCCTAGCAAAAGAAGGGTAATAAGCTTCATATCTTCTGTTGAGGTGGCTCAATTTTAGTGGTTGTGTAATGTCGCTTGTGATTATATACATGTGTGCTATATATACATAATCAAATGTAATTGCTGCAATATAAAAGATGATGTCAGATGCATTGAAGAACTGGAAGACTATGTTCAAAGAGCGGGTGACAGTCATGTAACGGCTAATGGCCTCACCAATGAATTTAGAAAAGTAACAATGAAGAAATGAGAAAACAGATAGTGTTTGTATTAAAGTACCGAGAGTCAAAGATTGTGGCACTGAAGATAAAGCCAATGAAAATATGGCCAGCTAAGTCGGCAATATTGAGTTGGCCAAGGATGGTTATATATATGGAATCTAAGGTGACCATATGAGTGGTGAAGAAAGAGAAGAGCAGGGAGTAAATTAAAAAAGAGGTGAGGAAAAAAGAGAGAAAGTAGCGAGGGCCAAGAGTGAGTGTATTCCTTTCGAAGAGAGCGCGTCTTCTTCTAGTGAGTGTGGAATACCTCTTGGTAATTTGTTAAGTGTTGTAATATTCTTTTTTTCTTGAAATAGAAGTTAGTCGTTCTTCTCCTGTGGACATTGTTGTGTTTGTGATTTATATCTTATTTGTCGTTTGCTGTACTTGCTTATTCGTGTGGGTGATCTTGGTCGGATTAATTCCTAACAAGTGGTGTCATAGTTGATTCGAAAGGAATTAATTTATAACATCTTTTTTTTTTTGATAAATACATAACATCTTTGAATCCAAAAAACAATAAATATGTGATAATAAGAGTCATAGCTCATAATCCTTTCAGTTTTGGGATCCAGTCTTCTCTTCATTCAAAATTAGAGGCAAACAGCTACATGAAGCTGATATAAGCAGCCACGCATTCCATATGATATCTGCAAAAACGTAATTTTTGCAATTCCCTTGTATCCCTTTTTGGTTGATATGTTGGTATAAGGTTAACTACTTATGGTTTGCAGAAAATTTGGATTACACCCAATTGGGAGTCCCCCTTTTCTACAATACAAATCCAGTAGTAACTACAATAGTACACTTTTATGGAAACATACTGAAAACATAACTGATACAATTGATGACAGGTCAATTATAACAAGTGTCAATTCAAAGCGAAATCAAATTCTTAAACAGGCAATTCCATTAATACAACATTGAAAATCAAGTAAAGACAATTAAGTGCACTTATACGGTAATTGAGAAAAAGGAAAAAAAAAAAAAAAAAATTTGATATTAAATTATATAACAAATATCTAAAAGTATAATTCATGCTCTCCAGTGATAAAACCAATACTTAGATTTATCTATATTTATACACTCGTGTATAAATACATATACATATAGAGAGAGAAGAAAACCCTGACAATAGGGGAGCCATAAGAAACTCACCCGGATCACATAGCTGATAGAACTTATCAACTTCTGCAATAGCACGACATATACATATATATAATTAGAAAAGCTACAAAATTTAGAGGCGAAATAGAGAGAATATAAAAACACAAAGCGAGATACATATACATGTATGCCTATATATATTTTATATATATATACATATATATTCAGAGATTTAGAAAAAAAAATACAAACCCATAGTGAGAGCCTTGATCAAGCCAGCTCTTCGGCCTTTGAAGTCGCTAAAAACCTCCTCTACTGTTCTCGGAGCATGCGAAACTCCATCCATTCTCTCCACTGCTCACAAAATTCAAATATATACCCCTGCAACGAGAATCAAGAGGGGAAAATAGGGTTTTTGCAAAGCTAGGGTTTCTTCTTCATGCTGATAGTGTATATATATAAATACATGTAGGTATAAACAATCTGAAGCTTCTTTTTGACAGAGATTTATAGTGAAGACCTAAATTGTATTGAAAGAAAATAATGGGAGTGAGATCAACGGTAAGGTAGGATTTTAGTAATTTCGTTGAATTTGCTCTTTTGGGGTCGCCTTTTTTCTTCATTTATAATTCCTACAAACCTTATATATATACACACACATACATGGTACATGTGTGTGTATTTATGTATGCTAAAGTTGTATTCTCTACACGCGGCCAAAAATTATTGGAACAGTGACAACGTTTTACACAGGATCGCTAAAAGGTAGAGTTTTTGTCACCACATGTGTGGCAAATTACCTTTTTATGTGTGGCAAATTACCTTTTTATTCACCAATCTTCAAAGAGTAATTTTTTCTTTTTTTTTTTTTTTTTTTTTTTTTTTTTTTTTGATGGTGTCCAATCCTGTAACAACACTCTCTAATAATGATAAGTTGTTTATGATTCACGATTTTCACATGTGTATTTTTATTTAGGGCAAACTATATTTAACACTCACGTAGTTTACATATTAAAAAATATAAGAGTAAGGTCCAAATTGATTATTTGACTTTTAGATATGAAAATTAATTTACATATATAATTTTAAGGCACTTAACTATTATTTAAAAGAAAAATCTGGAAGAAAGTTGATGAGGGTAACTTACGTTTTTACCTTTTCTTAATGGGCTCACCGTTATTTTTTATTATGTGGGCAATACTTGCTAACTTAAACATGTTTTTTTTTTGCCTCACTAATTTATGTGTATGGGCAATAAACATGTGTATAAGTTATGTGGGCACCTTATTTTGTAAATCAGTATATATGGAACATGAATATGTTTGTTGGTATTGGTACTTGAGAACTTATATGATGTAATATTTATGACTTGTTGATTTATATATGTTGGTGAATTAGTAAGGATAATATAATACATTGTACCACACCCTCAAAAAATACCACACTACATGACCAATGTCCCTGTCATTAAGATACACAAGCATATAACATGATCATAACTGAAATACAAAAAATAAAGATGGTTCTAAAGACCATTGTCTTGGCTATTCTTAACATGGTCTAAGTTGTGCGGTTACATGCAAAACATGGGTTAGCGTAAGACATTGGTTAAATGGACCATTGATATTCCATGCAAAACTTAATTCAAATAGTGAACGGAAAAGTTTTGCATGGTTGGAGGTAAAGATAAAAAGAAGGATACTTTTGTCTTTTCCGAATGATATAATTTCATTTCAATTAATGGACAATTTAGTTTTCTCACAATACCATGTTATTTATGTCTAAAAATATAATTACCCTACATTAATTTGATGCATCTCAAGAGTGAAACCACAAGGGTGGTTGACAAATATATATAGTCTTAAAAGACAAAAATGCCCTATATATATATATATATATATATATATATATTCAACACCGTCGCTGTCTCATTGGTACTTCCGAAGTTCATTAAACTGTGGCGCTCTCTGGCATTTTTTAACATGATTCCGGTAGAATATGTGCCGGCAATTCATCAGCCGCTTGATCTCATCGCCGCTCTCGTATTCGTACAGACACACCGCGTCAAAGCCCTCCCTCACATCTGCCTCATTGGCCCCAATGGCTGCAACCTCAAGGATGAGATCGGCTGAGTTGGTGTCGCCGCCGCAGCAGCCGTTCCGAGCTTCGTCACCGCCGCTGCTTCCGCCGCTTGACAGTTCCCCATCTCTCACCGTAGATCGACGCCGTACAATCACCAGCAAGGATTCCGGTTCAGGCGTTGTGTGTCTGACACAGTCTTCTTCTTATTCTTCGGTAAAATACCCCCATCGCTTGAAGGTCGGGATTGGAATGTGATGGATCTAGTGGGTGGAGTCTGGGTTTTTATTATTATTGATGATAATGTGGGTCTATGTGGTGTGGTGGTGGTGGTGGTGGTGGTGTGGGTGTCAACAGAGGTCGATGGTGCCCCAGTCGGCGCAGCAGAAGATTATTTGAGAGTCATCTGCATTGCACCACTTTAATTACATGAGTTTTCACCCTTTTTAATTCAATTTTTGTGACTAGTTTGACTCCCAGTTTGTCCCACTGTTACTACTTTGATTGTCTTACCAATTTTGTTTATCAGGTTCATGTATCAACCTACAGTTTTATCAACCAAGTAAATTTTTTATTTTTTTTGGGGAATTGAGATATTAGTAACATAAGTATAAAATTTGAACCAACTCCAATTCTGATTCTAAGAAAAAAATTCCATATTTCAAAAAACTGTAAATGCAATTCAAAGACCATTTTCTAGATAATACTCAAGATTGGATTCAACATTCATGGTACATTCTAGAATATTAATATACACAAAACAAACAATTTATTTATTCTAGAATCATTATCATGTAAAGGGCCCTGGCCATACATTTGCTATTGAAGACAGGCACCTGCATACAAAGTCTATTGCTGTTTAGTGAGAAGGAGGAGGAGGTTAGATTTTACGATAATTTAGTAATTTAAAATAAGTCTCTTGGACAATTAAGTCATTTTACACATAAAATAAAGTCCATACAAAGTCAAGAAGGTAACATAATCATTTAACACCTTAAAAGTACTATGACCTCACCAAAAATTAACATTTGGGATGTAAGTAAGATGTTAAACCACTCATTCAAATATACGTAAAATTTAAAACCAAAATGTTAATCTAGGTGATAAATAACCTAACCTCAAGAGTCTGAGAGTAATTTACCCTTTATTTATTGTTGCAAGGCAGGGGTTTTGTAACTCATGAGTAATGCTATTTAATCACTAAATTAAAATATTTATTAAATAATTTATTTAATATTTTACATATTTAGAATATATATGGACAAAATACAATAAACCTCTATCGAGTCTCGGCTATAAGCTTCTTCCAGTAAACTCGTCTAATTTTTTACTAAAGAACTCCTCCAACTAACTATTTGACGGGTAAGAGTGGATATTTGGACAAAAATACTCTTATTGCTATTTTTTTTAAAATTCTAATTCATCCGAATTTCAAAAATTTATATCTCACAAACAGTACGTCCAAAAATTGCAAATAATATATGCGCGAAAAACTTATGAAATAAGGATTTCAGAAATATAAGATTTGTGCAACAAGCCACCATAATTAGAGAGAAATAGGCGATCTAAGAATCTGCTCCAGCAATATTATATTATTTTTTAAAAATAAAATATTAGAGATATTTACAAAAAAAAAAAAAATCAGAATTATTCTTATGCATACGGAGCATAACATATAAAAAATTTAGCCCTAATAGAGATCGATTTCACGAAATATCATAGTGTGCATCAATGTATTTTCATTTTCTTAAAGACTCACAATTTATTTAAAAAAAAAAAAATCAAAATGAATAATCGGTCTCTTTTTAATGTGTTATGCTCCATATGTAAATGAATAATTTTAAAAATTTTCTTGCAAATGTCCCGAGTATTTTATTTTTTAAAATAAGATTGCTGGAACAAATTCTTAGATTATATATTTTTTCTTGGTTATGGTGGCATATTGCACAAATCTTATATTTCTGAAATTCTCATTTTCATAAGTTTTCTGTGCATATATTATTTATAATTTTTTTATGTATAGTTTGTAAGATGTGAATTTTTGAAGTTCGTATGAATTGAGAATTTGTTTTTCAAATAAAATAGTAATAAGGACCGTTTGGTCCGAACATTTACTCTTTTATCCCCCTCAAATAGTTGGAGGGGAATTATTTGATAAAAAGTTAGATAAAGGAAGTTTATTGATAGACGAGGAGGATTTGTTATACTTTAGGGCATTTGTACTAGCCTTTTTGAATTTTGGCTCTCTAAAAATGTCATTTCAACTTTTCCAAGAGTAACGTCAGCAATTTCAAGAGTCACGCCAGTAGTTTTCACTTTCCGGATTTTTGTTCTCAAAAAAAAAAAATTAAAATTAAATTTTTTTTTTCAACTTTTTCTAAACAGCTATATTTCTAATGGATAAACAATTAAAATTAATAATGAATTGGAATAAGAAAATAAGAATTACAAAATCATATGGGAAAAGTCCATGAATTTGTAATTTTAATTATTTTTTTTAAAAAAAAAGAGTTTTAAAAAAAAAATTATACTTTTTTTTAAAAAAAAAACTGTAGCCATTAAGGCACTATTTGTGTCAGCTAAATAGTGTCTTAACAGCAAAATGCATTGTTTGTGGTACATATTTAAAATTTAAAACAAAAAAAATAAAATAAAAACAAATTTTAAGGGAATATATATATATATATATATATATATATATTTAAATTTATTTTTGGCCCAAATAAAATTTATTTTTGGACAAACAGTTCCTAAACAATATATTATTTATTTAATGATTTTTTTTTTTTTTTTTTTTATAAAAAAAAGAGCACAAAATAACCTATTTTTAGGTTTTTTTAAAAAAAAATCTGCCAAAAGCCACTATTCAATAGCGTTTGCGAAAAAAACAAAAATGGGCTCACGCAAAAAAAGAAAAAAAAAAACAAAGATCGCTGGCCAGTTCGCTGAATACCGCGAGACAAAATAGGCCTGCATGCTTCAGCTAGCCCGTTCGCCAGTCCGCCGCAGCTGCTCTTACCCTTATATATATATATATATATATATCAATTCGCTTGTCTTATCATTATATATTTAAAACAACCTGGGTACTCTCTCATGGGTCTTACTAACACAACGGTGGGTGTTAGTGTCTCACTAACACGTGGTGGTGGAGTCATATCTCCTCATTATTGCATCTATTGTCGAAATTTTGGACAATAAAATCTAACTAGCCCAAAATGGAAGGGGAGAGAGCGAATTTTAAAACGGAAATAGAAAAGAATAAAATTATAAATAATAAGAACATGAACAAAAAAGTGGGAACGACACGTATAGAAAGATAGTGTGACTTAGGATAAAACACTATAAAATCTTATATGTATTAAAGTGAAAAATAGATTTGGTGACATATATATATAAAATAATTTGATTTACAATAACCTTAATACTAACCAAACTTAAACCGTAATTGCTAATTAACGACCGTATTTATTAAAAAATAATTTATAAATTCCGAAATTACAATCTAATATAGAGAATAACCCCTTCCATTCATCATTTTTCTGTCCTTCCTCATCTCTATCCACTCTCTTTTTACCCTTTTTAATTTGCAGTCTACCAATCAAAAAATGAATTTCCATACCAACCTTATCTCTCTTTCCAACGCTCTCCACCAACCTCACAAAACTTATTGCACAATGGAGTGGATAAGGAGTACAATAACAAACCGTGGTCTCTTTAAAGACTCTTTTTAATAGTATTAAAATAATCATCACGATGACATCATCACCCACTCACATGAAATAGTCGAAAGAATTTAAGAGCCAGACGGGTTATCATTGTAGCAAGTAAAAAACGAGTGAGAATGAAATGACAAAAGAGCAAGATTAGGATTAGGATCATACAGAAGTTCAAAAAACCAAAAACAACACACTGCAGATGCAACATGGAAATTTTACTTCTAGTATTAGCATCAATCCTAAACTACCAAATATTTGTAATTACACAGGTTATATACGCAGGTTATCTACTCAAATTACATTCAAATACCAGAAATATATGATTAAGACAAAGCAAATCAGAGAGAGAGATTTTTAACAGTTCCACCTAGCCCGCATCCCGCACACTCGATATGCTCAGCCTTTTCATCACTGGCAGAGTTATCGCCGGAAGCTCCACCTGGTGTTTCGCCCTGTTCATCTTCTTCTTTATCTTCCTCCATCTCATCGTCTTTTGACTGCTTATCAATTCCTCTCACAACTTCAAATAAAGTTGGTAGGTCATTTATCATCTGGAAAAGCCTCTTCCTGTAAATTCCATTTCCAACGAAGTTAGACAGAAAGCATAAAGCATGAATGGTCATTTCCTGAGATGATTTGAAAGAAAAGTTCAAGCTTTGTAGAGCCTTATCCCTCGGCAAGACAAGTGAAGGGTAAGTTTGAGCATTACAGAGCCTTATCCTGGGTACTATAGTGACAATAAGGCTTCGTTCATGGAATTGGAAGGAAAAGAAAATACAGGGAGGGATGGTGTTTTTCATGTTTGGTTTGTTAATTAGGAGAGGGAAAAAAAGGATTTGGAGAGATTTGAAGGGATTTTGCTATCCTTTCAAAAGTGGAAAGAAAGTATAGCAATTTTAGTGACACTTCCATAATACCAAAGAAATTTAAAAGACATTTGGGTTCCACTTTAACGTTAGGCTATAATAGTAAATTGGTTAAAATGGTTTCTTTTCTCTTCTCTCCTTCATCTTTTCCAAACAAGAATGCTATCATTTGCTTTCTTTTCCTTCATAATTTATCCAAACATGAATATAGGTTATTGCTATCTTTTCTATTATTTTCTTCTCTCATAACTAATATTATCCTTTCTTTTCTTTTCTCTCTTGTTTATCCAAACGAAGCCATGAAACTCAAAAATTTGAAATACCAATGGCAGCAACAGAAAGCACCAAGGCCATAAATCATTACTAGCACCATGGACTGATGCCAATGGTAATCATCATCACCACCAACATCCTTTCCTTTTCCCAATCACTACTAGTGAGAACTAAGAACAATTGCTTTTTAGTAGGTTCATAAAAGGGTTATCATTTACAGGAATTGTGCATATCAACTAGAGTATAAAATATCGTAAATACTTCTAGTTATATCTAAAAGAGTTAGTAACTTAGTGCCAGAACATCTAACCACAATAAGTATTGCCTTTACTAGGTTGATAATAGGGAACTAGGGAAGCAATTACAGGATTTGTACTGCATAAATTAACTAGGTGTATAGAATAATGCAAATACTTCAAATTATATCTAAAAGTGTTATTGCTTAAGCATCTAACCACAATGGCTTAAAAGAAAGGTACTGAAAAATTTAGCATCCAGACAATATAAGAACTAAAGAATGTGTCATTAAGTTCCAGAAAAGATATTACCTTTCACTTCTACCAAACCCGAAGCGTCCCCCAAAATAGTATGCAACAGAAAGCAACCACGAATCACTGTGAAGCGCAACTAGTGTTAACCAGTCCTCCTTTCGCATCCCATCCCTAGCAAAGTTTATGCCTAGTGCGGGCTCAGGAAGTTCAGGAGGCAACATCTCAACAGGCAGTTTGAGTTCCCAGGTCTCATTTGGAAAACCATACAGACACAAGTTCATATTCTCTGAAAGCACAATATTGATATATGTTCAGAAACAACAAAGAACTCCATCTCTAAATGATCAGGATCATACTCTTCTGCACTAGCATAAATTTTTTTTTCTAGGTACTACAACGACTATCCAATAACTACTTAAAATGCATCACCGGTAACTATGAATGTTCATCTACATTTTTATCTCTATTAAATGTTATTATCAGAGAAAAAAAAAAAAAAAAAAACTTTTGTTGCTTCCAAAAAAATTAAGGAACATTAACAATCAGGTGCTATAAATTTCCCTAGGATCAACGCCAATGGAACTTCTCTAGCAACAAGCAACACCCACCCTTACTTTAAATAAACTTAAAGTACAAGCAGATTCTAATTCAAAACAAATTTCATTCTTAAAAAAATAAAGGAAAAGAAATGACATAGTGCATAATCACGAAGGAAATTATACTATGGTGTTAATTCTAAGGTTTACTCTACAACTTGAAAAGGAAATAATAAGAGAATGGGTACAGTAACAATATGGTGATATATGAGGAATAAGAAAACAAATAGAGCCCATTAACTTCAGTAACTCACTGCAGTTGCTAAGAACAGTAAGAAGAGAGTGCTAGCAATTGACATACATCTAAACCACGCATTAAGGTAAAGATATATCAAAATAACGAAATTCGATAATTCCAATAGCAATGGGGTTAATAAAAGGGCCAGCCTACTGCAAGCAAGGTCTTGGGAGTGTCATGTGGAGAGGTTGTTTTCCATTTCAAACTTGTAACCTCCAAGTCACAATGAATCAACCTCGCCCGGCCACAATAGCAATGAGGTTAATATTAGTATTAAAAATGCTAGTATGTAAGGTATACCCTTGGTAAACTAATCTTTCTAAAGAATATGAAAGAAGACAGACAGGGCATGTTCCTATCTACTTACTGATTCAACTTTCAGTTAAGATAGTTGGTCAACCCATAGGTACTCTCCTTATTTTTCCATTTCCCTAAATGATTTTAGACACATTAGACATGTCAAAAGTTAGCCCGTGCAACCAAGTACAAGCTTAGAACTTCTGTTACAAATGGACTCTTCAAAAGTAGTAAAATATTCGTGTCGGACACATATCTCTCGGACATGGGTATATGTGTCCGACACTTTTGGTTAAACATGTACTTAAAAAACATATCCAATAATTCAATTACATTATATTATTACTTTAAAAAGAGTTAAATGCCTATATTGAATATTATATTAGATAAAAACATTACTTTACTCTAAAAAATAAAATAAAATAATTAATAAAATGAATATTTAACCGTATCCGCCTGTTCGGAGATTAGACACGTCATGGATACATACCCGTGTTCTATACCCATACCCGAGTAGCTTAGAACAACGAGTGCCAAACCATTGACTAATAATAATAATTTATTAGAAACAAAAAATAATTTTCAATCATGAATACATAAACAGTAAGTTAACCCTCCAAAAAAAATGATACTACAATTTTCTAGTTCATGTTCGACAGTAACAAAACCAATACTTAAATTTATTGGTATTTCACCAAGGGCTTGGTGAGGGTTTGAGTCCCCAAAGGACAAAGTGGGGGTGTGTTTCACAAAAAAAAAAAAAAAAATGTATTTCTACACTCGTGATAGATATATATAGAGAGATGAAAACCGTGACAATAGGGGGAACAAGAAGAAAAACTCACCCGGACCGGACTGCTGATAAACCTTCTCAGCTTCTGCAATAACATAACATATACATACATAAAATCAGAAAAGCCCCAAAATTTAGAGGCAAAATAGAGAAAAAAAAATATACGTGCATATATATATATATATTCAGAGATGAAGAAAAAAATTCGAACCCATGGTGAAAGCCTTGATCAAACCAGCTCTTCTGCCTTTGAAGTCCCTAAAAACCTCCTCTACTGTTCTCGAACAACTCATTCTCTTCACTGGTCACAAAATTCAAATATATATATATATATATATATATATATATATATATATATACATATAATCTCTCAGGAAATATAATGCTGATTCTACAGAATTGAACGACAATGAAAGATAGGGTTTTACTTCCCCAAAAACAAAAATATAGGGTTCCTGCAAAGCTAGGGTTTAAAGAAAAGGAAAAAGAAGGTATATGGCGTTAGCGCTCCACATTTTTTTTTATTTTTTATTTTTAATAGGTTAAATATATTTGGTAACTCTTTTTTATTAAAAATTTTAATTTTTTCTTTTAGTTTTATAAAGATAATTACACTCTTGCATAATAAAATTGCTATTACCAAATATAATAACATTATATTAAATAATATTATTATAAAATTAGCATATTTAAAAAAATTTGTTACCAAATAAATAAAAAAATAATTTAATTGTAAAAATAATTTATTATAATGTGTCACCAAACAATTAACATTCTTTTTTTTTTTTTTTTGACACCTAACTTGTTTATTGATCGTAATTTTTTGACAGCTCTACTGTTAAAAGTGAATATATTTTTTTTTAATTTATTTTATTTTAGAAGCAACCTTAAACGGGCCCTTTTTAGTTCTTACATTTTTAATGTTATAATCCTATATCTACATTAAAATTATGACTGATTTGCTTTTAATTTAATTTTTTAATTTTATAATAATATAGGTTTTATTTATTTACTCAAATACATTTTATCTTAAATCTGGTATCTTTTTATCTTAATCACATACATTTGATAATATTTTGTCAAGTCATTTATAGCCAATTTGAAGAAAGACTCTAACAAGCCAGCAACATATACCAAAGAGAAAACAAAACAACAATCCAAAGAGAGCACCTCAAGCAACCAATTGTAGCCAATTTGAAAGAAAAACGCCACTATCAAAAAAAGGTAGAGTCAAAATGTTCCTATACACTGAATTTCTATTATTCTCAGCATATTATGTCATTAGATAAAATTTAATTCTAAAAAAAATATATGGTAGATTAATTCAGCAACATAAAACAAACAATAAAAACAAGTCACTATATAAAAAGTTTCAATAAGAAAAGTAACATGATATAAATTTTGAAAAAAAAAATTAAAAAATAACATAATATAGTTTTTTTTTTTTTTTTTTTTTTTTTTTTTTTGCATGAACTCATCTAGATGTCCAGTACCATTAGACCACGCCGCCTTTCGTACAGTATAAAAAAATAATATAACCGAGTGTCTCGTAACTTTAGTTGATGGCATCGCCATTATTCTTCTTAATAACCTTATGGATCAATCTTCCTATGACTCAGTTTGTCACTGCTTGGAACTTGGCATTTGTAAGAATGTAATCCAACTTAAAAAATCACCTTCCTCTTAAGAGAATCAAAAGTTTTGAATGCAATGAATAAAAACGGGTAGCTGATGTGGTTTAATATAAATCATAAATATATCTTCAATGACTCGTGTTATTAAGTAGAAAATTTAATTTATGATAACTTAAAGGAACCAAATCCGAGAAGACTACCTGTAATTGCCGAAGAAAGACCTTCGAGTATTAGATTGATCGTTCTCCAGAAAAATTGAAATTTGTACATTGATTGAAGAAAGGAGAGAGAGAAGAGGGTAGAGTCTGAAATGGCATAAAAAGAAGGGATGGAAATGAAATAAGCACACACACACACACCCACACACACGCATAGGTGGCATCGATCAAAAGAATGAATGTTCCTTGCAATTTCTGGTGGGTCCCACGGAAAACGCCAACACTCCAGCGAAAAATAACACCTAAATGCATAAGATAAATTTAAATGACATGACAAGAACTCTACATATTTAATTATCAAATTAAAAGATATGTTAAATAGTTTATTTGACTTTCTATAAATGTTAAAAATCTGTTTTTATAGGGTCATTAAATGCAAATAACTCATAATTCATGTAAATAACTCATAACTGTTGTCGTGAACTCTCTTTATAATATTATTCAATTTTAATTCTTATTTATTCAATTTTAATTATTATTATAAATTGAGAGTGAAAGGAGGTGGAAGCATGCTGTTCTCTCTCTTTAGAGGCTCTACTCTCAGCTTTCACACTGGATCACGATTCCTTTTAAATGAGTAAATCTAATTTGTTACCCTTTCATTTTTTATTGAAGGTTAGTGGTTAAAAGACACTGGATCACAACTTCTTTTAAATGGGTAAATCTAATTTGTTACCCTTTCATTTTTTATTGAAGGTTAGTGGTTAAAAGGGGAAGGTGTAACACTATACACGGAAAGCAACCCAACCACTCGAACAATATAACACTTGCAGCAGCCGCATATCGTTTTGATGAGGCACTTTTGCTTGGAGATGCAGGCTAACAAATTGAATCCATGCATAGTTCTACGATCAGATACAACAGTGGTTCATGGAAAGGAGAGAAGGTAGATGCAATAGATTGAGAAATGGCAGATACAAAGTGTGTTACAAATTCCACATTCCAACTAAATAAAGCAATGATACCATATCTCAACTAAATTCTTCACTGAACACAAATAGAAACAGCAAAACCGGGAAACATATCATCAAGCTTTGTTTCCGCACACTGATCATTCACCTGCACATGCAATAAGGCATTCACTCAACAATCAATTTGCAGATCCATATCTAAGATTTGAACAAAATTAAATATCGTTTTGTGCGAAAAATAATATTGCTTCCTCCTTTATGGAAGATGTCCATATCTAATATTTGAACAAAATTATAAAAAAATATAAATAAATAAAGGATAAGAAAGAAAAAAAAAAAATTGAAAAGAATTGACCCATAACATCTATGTAATGTGGATATGGAACTGACCCTCTTGAACCATGCAAATGACCATCCACGTACAACAACAGAACTAGTACATGTAAATTAAACCAAAACAAGAAGGAGCAAAATATAATTATGAAAAGCATGTTATCGAAACATCAAAAAGTTTTGACAACATAATTTTTGTGGCATCGTCTCCTATCCTTCTGTAGCCACCATAAAAGTATGTATTCTTAGTCAAAAAAAAAAAAAAAACATTTGTGAACGTGTCAATGAGAGAGGGAGTAATATATTCAAATTATATTGGATGAATCCAACAATTCAAGCAAAACATGTTCTGCAAATTCACCTTCAAAGAACAAAAAAATAAAGGAGACATTAGGGAGAGAGGGTACCAAACCAACATGGTCCACGGAACTCGCCTATATCTAATGCAGAGATCTGTAATTCTCTCTTTTAGCTGTGAGTCCTGCATGGGGCAAGAGGGGAAATTTTGTGTTATGAGGATTGGATTACTTTACATCCTCTGTATTCATATTTGTATATAACAAGCAATATTTCCCTCACAGTATATATGAATGACAAAATAGAATTACATCAGACAGATGACACAAATTTATATATAAAAAAAATCAAATGCATATGCTTTCCAATGGTTCTAGTTAATCAATTTGTTATACATTCTAAAATCATATAATATAAATTAGTGGGATCCTAATTTTCTTTCAATTCCGATCCCCATCCTACTTTATCCTCATCTTGGTAATTTGGAGGATGGTGAAATGTTTAAAGTAGGAGAATGAATGAGCCAAGGGGGAGTGTGAATTGCATGCTATTATTGCTTAAATTTTCAGTCGCATGCTATTATTGCTTAAATTTTCTTTTATTGAAAATATAAAATAAAAAAATTAAGTAGTAATTTTATGTTGTACATTAACTAGAAGATTTTCCCTTGTATCAAAATAAAGTGGTTTTTGAGTATGTATTTGTGTATAGATTGACAGGTCACTAATATAAAACATCATTTCAATTCAATGTGAACCATAAAACAATTTTGCAGAGGATTATGTTGCCTGTTGCTTCATTTGAATGAAGAGAAAGAGAGAGGAGGGAGAGTAGACTTACATTATTGCCATTGCTGCTGCACATTTATATCCTTACAGCCACTAGTCATATATGTCACCTTCTGAAACCATTGCTGTCGGATCAAACTTGTGGATTCTTCATTCCATGATATGTATGTGTTTATGATGGAACACATAATCTCCAAAGCAAAGAAAAGTATTCACCTCTTTTCACCAGCTGATATTTCTAGACATCTGCATCATCGACATTTTGACAATAAGGAGAGGTGCTGACAGTGTAGTATTCCATACCCTTAGCGTCTTCGCGGAACACAACATGGATTCCCAACTCCTTTATCACATAAAAAGGAATGAGTACCACTGAAACTTCTACTTCATCATCCACTTGCAACTCTTCCTTGATCTTCCAATGGCTTAACCACATCGTATAAATGTTTCCAGTAATGCCTATGACCGTTGGCCAATAGGTCCACACCATACGCTTGGTCCTATTTCTAACATGTATACTACATCTTGTCATGGGAGGATCAGGAGGACTATCAAATTCTGCCATGGGGTTATACGTATAGACAACACATACATTCATGCCATCAATCTTGAGATTGGGAGATGGAGGTTGTACTTTAAAACATATTGGAAATCCCGTGCTCTTAAAGCTGTACCAGCTTGGAACCTCGCTCCCAGGGACGTAAGTATTAAAAATACCAAATTCAGTCAGCCCCTGCAGCATGAAAATAATAACTTTAGCTCTAATGGATATTGGGTTCGGGGGAAAAGAGAAAGAGAGGGAGAGAGAACGCGCACCAGGACATGAGGGAATAATTGATACCGACCCCCAGGCATGTTTTTCCTGAATGCCAGCTTAACATTTTTCAAGAATTCCAAACTGAACAAGCCCAAATTGCTCATAATTTTTGTGTCAATTTTTCCAATGGGTTCCAACTTATACAATCTCTGAGACTCAAGTAATTTTTCACAGCCACTTAGATGTACGAGAAGTGAACTCGACCAATTTGGTAGATTTATTAACATTTTCAATGACCTGCAATTTCTTAAATTCAGCATCTGTAAACTCATTGGGAGCTCCGGAAGCGACTGGAGTGTTATGCAATCTTGTAATACAAGTGATTGGAGCATAGTGAGACCCTTGATGCTCTCTCGTAGACTATGGATAGGATTTCCGCTTAGATCCAATTGCCGCAACAAGGATAGGTTGCCAAGATCTCTTGGAATAAGATCATCCGATAGATTGCAATCTTTAAGACATAAGCTTGTTAACGAGCGTGGTAAAGAAGTCAGTACAAAACTGATGGAGTACTCTGGAATTTCTCTTGGCCCTGATCCCCAATACCACAAGTATGAAAGCCATGATCTTACTTCAGTGGTTGTTGACAGTGATTGATTTATGGCAGTTCCATCTGCGTGGAGCATTTTCAAAGACTCCATTCCACCCAGTTCCCTAGGGAACTGGTAGAGCTTTGAGCAACCAGAGAGAATGAAATATTCAAGAGATTTCAGCCGGCCAATTTCCAATGGAAGCTCCCTAAGATTTTTGCAGTCTTTCAGATCCAACAAAACTAGTCTCCCCAATTCCCCAATGGATTTATGAACCTCGATCAAATTCATGCAATCTTTAAGAATCAATCTCTCAAGATTAGGGACATTTGAGAAATCAGGCGTATTAGTAAGGCAATGGGAATGGCTGAGATTGAGGATTTTTAATGATCTGAGAAACTGTCAGAAAAAGTAAAAAGTTAGCTATTATATATATATATCCCAAAGAAAAGAAAAAATAAATTAAAAGGAACTTTATGTCAAACCTTTTTTCCCTTCCAAACTTGTTTCAAGCTACTATTTTGCATGTCAAGAACAACAACGCTCCCCAGAGAAAACTCAATGGGTATAATTTCCAAAGAGAACCCACACCAACACAACCATATCAACTTCTTAGGAAATTGTTTGTAGTTTCCAGCAAGCCTTACATTATTAAGGTGAAGCAGTCTTAGATTGTGCATCCTTGAAAATGCATTGGTTTGTAAGTCCACTTCAGTTAATGTGGAAAATGACTCTCTCAAGGTAGAAGTTACAGGGAGCCAAGAGAAGAAGCCCAGACCAATCCGCTCTGAAGAATTGCTTCCATGCAGGTTGAGGATGAGGCCTTCAATGATTTCTGTTCCCTAATAAAGAGGAATCACTAAGTAAGCACAAAATGCAAGAAAAAACATGCAGATAGACTTGAAAAACACAGTTCTTACAGTTTTTTCTATCAATACATTTAAGGCATCCTTGTGATGGCAGAGTCTGCTGCGTTTTGATGGCTCCTTTGGCGATTCACGATGTACTATTTCTCTTCCCATGTCTCGAAGCAACTGATGCATTGTCAGCTCGTTGTCTATGTTGACAGTTACGAGACATCTTTTAATGAGGTTGTCAATCCCAACTTTTGTGTAGTATTCACAACCATCAAGTACTGTAATTACAAAATCTTGGTCCATTCCAACAAAGAAACAAGCAATGTCAAGGAATAAATTTTTGTCGTGGTCCCCTTCTAAAGAATCAAAGCTAATTTTGAGTTTTGTTATGATCTGACTGTCAGGAATTGCTTCCAATTTCTTTATTGCACTTTCCCACACATCTACGCTTCTTCCAGATAGAGAAGAACCCAAAATTTGAAGAGCTAAAGGAAGCCCTCCGCAATACTTTACAACATTTTCTGTGTGCTCCATATATCCTTCAATGGGGTGATCTTGTCCAAAGGCATGCCAACTGAAGAGCTGAAATGATTCATCATCAGTTAATCCCTTAACTTTGTGCACCTTGTGCAGTTCATGTGCCTTCAACAATTGCTCATTTGAAGTTGTTATGATAATTTTGCTTCCTTGTTGAAACCAACTTCTCATTATGAGTACTGCATTTAATTGGTCTTGTTCATTCACATCATCAAGAATAAGTAAAATTCTTTTGCAGCAAATAGAATCTCTTATCTTTATGATTCCTTCGTCAACACTACTAATTTTTACCTTTTTTCCCTTTAAAATATCAGAAAGAAGTTGTTTTTGTAAACGAACCAGACCTCTGGGTTCTTCTGATGTTTCTCTAACCTTTGCAAGAAAACTGCTACCTTCGAATCTGTCAAAGTTCAAGTTATATAAAGTTTTCGCGATGGTTGTCTTCCCTATTCCACGCATACCACTGATTGCCACAATCCCAACTTCATATGATCCATCTTGTAACCACAAATTAATGTCATTTATACGAGAATCTAATCCAACTGGATAGGAACAAACACTTAACATTGTGCGATTCAATTTGTTGCTAATCTCTTTAACGATTTCTTGGATAAAATTTGACTCATACCTACAAAATGCAATGTTTCGTATAATCAATTTTGACAAAAAAAAATTAATAATAAATAATATATATATAACCACTAAAATAACTCTATAATATCTTAAAGTGAAGTAATAAGTTCTAAACAGTGTTGATAAAGAAGTTCAAAATGATTCTTATCAAAAAGAAAATAGTTGTTCAGATTGATTTTAGAAAATGTTAATAATATTTATAGACATTGTTTGAAGTTTTTTAATAAAATGGAGTGAATGGTAATATAAGCATCTAAAGACATACAGCTATTGAATTATGAGTAATGCACTTATGATCACTCGAAGCAAATGGAGCCAAAGTAAGGAATTCAAAGAGCTTACCCATCTTTTGATATCATTCCTGACAAATCTGCAACTTCTCTCAAAGCTTCCTTCCACCGCTTTATCTTGTCCATTCCCTTCTCTTTTCTTTCATCTGACCCCAACTCCAATCTTTTTTCGTGTTTTGCAAATGCTTCTGCAAAACTCCCCTTTAGCCACCTTAGATCAGATGGATCCACATGGTAGAACACAGGCACAATTATATGACCAACGCTCTTCTTGCGTTCAAGGATCTTTAGAAGTTCATCAAGACACCATGTTGAAGATGCATAGTCTTTTGAGAAGACAATTATTGAAATCCTGGACTCTTCGATTGCCTTTATTAATTCTGAAGAGATATCATCTCCTGTCCCAAGTTCATCATCATCCCTAAAGGTACGTATTCCGGCATGCAGCAGAGCTGTATAAAGGTGACCAGTAAAGGTTTTTCGGGTGTCTTTTCCTCTGAAACTTAAGAAAACATGATAAGAATACCGAGTTGAGGAGGCTTCTTGGAATCCCATAGCAGCCATCAAACAAAGATCAAGGAGATCGATGAACAAGTGCTATAACTAATCTGTAGAATCACAACACAACCAATATTACTTGTATATATAAGATGTTAATAAATAAATAAACAATATTATGTACTGAAATTTTGAAATAAGCAAAATTAATTAAATCTTATATATTTCTTATATAAGGAAAATGCTATAAAACATAAAAAAAAAAGGCAGTTTAATTAATTAAATTCTATATATTTCCTTCATATGGAAAATGCTATAAAATAATATTTAAAAAAAAAGGCAGTTTAATTAATTATAAATAAGGCAAAGGTTGAATGGAAAACACACATAATAAAAAGTGCAGACAACGAACAGATTATTTTAAATTGGCTTCACAAAGATTTTAGCTTAACTCAATACCTAAACAAAAATTCTCAATTATTTGAAATTGCAACAAATCAATCATTCTATATACAAAAGAATCTTATTTCTTTTTCTTGACCTTGGATCTTTCAAAACATACAAAACCAAGATAAAAGAGCCAGGTAAAAGACCATACCAGTATTTTAACGTATTTGGTATTAAAGATTCATGTAATTAATTAACTTGTGACACTATGCAATTGGTCTTTCAAAGGTGAAAAAAGGGTTTACCTGTAATTGCCGAAGATTGATCCTCCCAGTATTAGAAGATGGAACCGTTCACAGACAGATTGAAATTGTTGATCGGAGAAGAGAGAAGCATGGGCGGCACTGGTATCCACCCACCGGAACGAAGCTTCCTCGCAACCACCATTTAAGACAGAGACTTTAAAGTCTCAAACAATGCTTTGTTTAAGACTAAAGATTCTTCTTTACTTTCAATTTTCTGGGAAAAAAATAATTCGGTCAATGCCAGTTTTCATTTCCGTAATTGTCTAATCCCATTAATAAGACTTGTTTTTGGTTTTTGTTGCTGGCTGCACATTAATGGCGGGCCCCACCACCCACCTGTTCTCTATTGTTGAAATTACAATAAATTAATCATTGTCCTAACATCCCCCAAATCACTGCATCTCCCAAGTATGAACGATACTTTGCCACCAAATACATTCTTGCCACAAATAAATCTAGCAAGGAATCTTTGAATGATGGATAAGAAACCAGAGACGGATGAGGATCAGAGATTCAGAGTAAAGCAAACAAACCCGATTCAGCTCCTTCTTCAGTTGCGACTCATACAAATCCCATCCACGCAGTATTATTTTCAGTTTTATTACAAAAACAAACTCAAGTTTACAACGTGATGTTTGACATTTTCATACAGCTCATCACAAGAATTACTAGCAGTAAAATACAATGGGGGTTGAATTCCATTAAAATTCTATGCACAGGCACACAAGAAACTGGAAAACTACGTACTCTTGTTGGCTCATAGTCATTTGCAGGTTAGTTTGGTTCTTATTTCGCGGAAAAAACTGGTATGATCCAATTTCAAACTAAAGCAGCTGACTGAAGTAGACACAAGAAAAAAGAGAGATCAGGGAGAGTGAGGAGAACAGCAAGACAAACAAGCACAATGAGAGAGAGAGAGAGATATGCAAGCCCAACAACCTGTGGACCGACAACCGCACAAGCAAAAAACTACAGCATTAAGCAACCCATGATTAAGCTTACATATTTTTCTGTTTAAAAATCCTCATTTTATCAAAGATAAGGTCCTTTCTTTCATTTGCTAATACATAAATGAATGCTACAGCTAAAGCTTCATCTTTAACCAGGACAATACTTGATCCTAATATATCAAAAGTGAATATGCTCATGCCATTTGCATGGGTCAAAACACAGAGTTTTTGACCTTATACAGACACTATTCCCAATGGGTAAAATCCCATCCTAAGCAGCAACTGGAACCTTTGCCGGCTTCTTAACAGCAGCTGCCTTTTCTGTCTTCACAGCTTTTGTCATTTCTGGCTTTTCAATTCCTTGAATATCAACTATCCTCAGCTTAGTCAGTTCCTAAAATGACAATCAGATGTTAAGCACAAAGAACTTACTGATCGCCAAATACATATACATATATATATATTTGGTGGTGGGGTGCAGGGAGATTGGGGTCATTTGGAACCAATTTGTTCTGCTAGTCAATTGGACTTACCTGTCGATGGCCTCTGGTTCGGCGATAGTTCTTTCTCCTCTTTTTCTTGAATATAATTACTTTTGCATCTAATGCCTTGAAGGAAAAGGAATAAAGAATAAGATCTCAAATGGGTAAATGAAGTACACGCATATTATAAATCTCAACTAAATGAAGGCTCTCCATCTATTTGATGTCAAATATATGAAATCTATTCTGTCAATCCACCCTATTTAAGGTCATACTTCTCTATTGCCCTAGTGGTGTTCGAAGGGGAAAACTAGAGGACATAATCTTTACCATTAATTTCAAAAAAGAAAAGAGGCAATTTTAAGACAGTCAGACTTGTCGGACAGAGCATTTATCATTGCACCAAGCAATGACCCTTGCCATGCTTATCAATTAAGGCAAATAATAGTTCTAACAGAAATTTCTGTTCATATGACGATGTTATTTTTCAAATCAATGTGATATTGTGATCAATCGGAAGTCAAGCTGAACACCATAATAAGAACTAAGATCCACACCTAAGTGAAAATTTCCAGTTTCTCTATATTTGGTATCCAGATCGATCTAGCTAATTAAGACAGAACAATAAGGACATTTAGTAACTGAAAGTATATTTTTGACAAGAAATAATAGTCCTGCAACTAAAGGATCCACAACTAAAGGTTTCAAAGTAGCAAAGAGTGCTCAATAAAATATAATTTAATGGGCTATTGAGCGTATTACAAGAGAAGCCATCAAGTTTTTTCCAACACCATATCTCCATTCAAGAGATGCCGCTTTTTGCATCCTTTATTCTCTGAATATAACCATTACTTAGATAATCTTCAAATGGACAAGGACGAAATTCAAAAGGAAGGGGGAAGAAAAGAGTTAGAAGAAAGTGTCATTTTTTTTACTAAGTTAGAATGTTAGATTCACCAGAATCACTTGTATTTGATTTTTAGATGTTTAGAAGGTGAAAGGGATGAAAAATACACTTTGCTATAAATGTTCAAGCACTACTGTTATATCTGACTAAAAAATATAAACCCCTCTTGTATAAAAGCTGTAGGCAGGTGAAAAAAGAAAGAAAGAAAGAATGAATGAAAAATAAATAAGTAAATAAATAAACATGCCGTCACTCTTACATGCTCCTCAACAACTGCATGGACCTCTGCATCAGGCAATATGGGCCGACCAATAATAGTCTGTGTCTGTGAACCCAGCATGAGAACCCTGTTTAAAATTATCTGCAATAGAAGATGTCATACAAGCATCAGCTAAGATTCATGGTACAGTTGATTGAAATTGAATCGGATAAGCAATCACCAAGCTACATATAGCCAAATTAATAAGAACTTAAGGTATAGTTGCATCACCATCTATGTTAACTTAGCTGCCAAATTTAGTTCATTATCAACATCAGTAAGACACAGACAAAGGCATATAAGAAAAGAGCTAAATAGCAAGCTAGTTGAACAAAAATGAATAATAAACCAACGGCCAGTGGCCTAGCGGTATCAGCCTCTTACTTCCCAAAGGGAGGTTAGAGGTTCAAGTCTCAAAAGAGATAAGTGCGTATGAGTACCAACTAGGGAAAAAAGAAAGGATAATAAAAGGGAAATGGAAAGCCCAATAGGATCTCAAGTTCTATAAACATTGAATGTTAATTGCTCAAGGTGTTACCATTATTGTTGAAAGATGAATGCTTTAATAACAAAATGTAAGTTTAAGTACCATCATCTCGAATTGGGACACATAATAAGAAGGTGACCATTTTAGAAAATGAAGGTGAAAAATTAAAAAAACAGGAGACTTCAAAAAGAAAAAATCTTACACCATCATTTCATGTCATGCTGCATGTTATACAATAACAATCAAAGCAATTTTCACAACTACTTGGGGTCGGCCACATGAATCCTATGTTTGCATTCTGCTCTATATAAGGATATAGCCTCATTCAATCCACATGCTAATATATTACCAAAATTCTAAATGATCACATTTTTACCTTCAAATTCTACATGAAAACAAAATCACATCATTCAAATTATTAGCCGCATCCAGAAAATCCCAATTATGAATTCTATTAAACACAGAAGTATCAACAATAATTCCAGTAGTAATTCCATATAATGTGATTTCTATTCATACACAGAAGTAGTGATTATACACATCAAACTATCAGAAATAATTACAGTAAAGAGTAACATATTAAAACTAACATCTAAAAAAAATGCAAATTTTCAACCAACAATAATACATGCATTCAAGTACATATGAAGAACAACTCACCTTCTCATTCACTTCACAGAATTTCAACCTTTCCGTGTAAATGCAATCCCAATTGCTAACCTTAAACTGATGGGAACCGATCTGTATAAATCCCCAAAAACAACAAATAAGAATAAAAAATTCACAGAATCGACATTCAAAAATCAACCAAAAACCCAAACCTGAACAACAGCGAAAACAGGAACATAGGGTTTGAAAGGCCGAGTCGAACGATCAATCGGTCCAATCACTTTGTACCCAATTTCTGCCGCCTCTTGTTCTCTCTCCTCCGGCGTATACGACTTATTTACACGACCCTTCGATGCCGAAACATTCTCATCATCAATATCCTCTTCATCTTCCTCTGCATCATCATCTTCATCTTCATCTTCATCGTCGTCTTCATCGTCGTTTTCGTCGTTATCAGTGTCGTCATGTTGATCAGAAGAGAAATGGCGAGTGTGGAAGAATTGGGAGTAGCAAATGGGATTCAGATTGGTGGAAATGGGGAGAAATTTGTGGGTGAGGAATAGGGGAGAAAGGGGATTGGGGGTTAGGGTTTTCTGGAGGTGGGGTAGGGTTTTGAGGGATTGGAGAGATGGGTTTGGAGAGACAGAGGATGTGTAGTGACGGGTTAGAGAGAGAGCTTGGATACAGCGTCTGTTCGCCGCCATTGTTGTTTTGGGGCTGTTCAGAGAGAGGTGTTTAGTGAGCTTTGGTTAGAAGTTGTGTGGAGGTTTTTTTATTCCGGGTGGTGTAAAACTTTCGGGTTGGCTTTTCGGGTGGTGCTATGAGAACAATAATAAAAGGGTTGAATTTTTTATTTTTATTTTTTAATATCAGAAAGGGTTGATCATTCATGGCTAATATTTGGTTTTATTTTAATTTTTTTCTTAATTGGTATTCCCACACGGTCACATATACGGAGACTTAAATCTTTAACCTCACAGCGAGATCTCTTCAGTAGGTCAACGACCCAGTAATAATATTAATTTTATTTTTTATTTTTGATAAAAAAAATACACATAACTCAAACACACACTGGGAGTCAAACCCCACCATTTACCTAAAGAGGTAGGGGAGATACTACCACAAGGCCATTGGTTATTTATTATTATTCATTATTATTCCCGTACATTTCATCTAATAAAATCTAAACCAAGATAAATGATTTTTTATTTTTATTTTTTCTTTAGAGTACGTGTATCTGTCCCATAACATACACGGCATTCAAGTTAGGAATGCAATTCAAAAGTGAGACTGAAAACTTACTTCTCAAATTCTTACCAACGCCACTGTTTTACGAGGCCAATCAAGATAAGTTTTTTCTTTTTTTTTACGAGAGAGTAATTTCCTAATTTAAACTTTATTTTCTTTTGGCGAATTTGAGCTTATATGTTAGTGTTCATACTTCGGTTGTTTAACTCCTTTTGGTCAATTTCGTTCAATCTTGGGCCTTAAACCGAGACATATGCAAGTCTAATGAGCTAAACTATTTTGTTTATTAAATATTCAAAAAAAAAAAAAAAATCTCAAACTCAAACTGGACTTTAATTTAATCTGAGTCCGAACTGAAATAATAATCAAATTTTAAAAAATAATTGCTAATTAGCATCCATAGCTAAGAAAGATGAGCTGGTGGTGGAGTATGGTGGGATTTTGGTAGAAGGCTCTTTAAAATATTACTACTAAATTTTAAATAATCATTAGTTGACAATTTATTAATTTTTAATTTTTTTTTAAGACTCCGTTTGTTCCAAAGTAAAATTTTTTTTTATTCAAGTAAAATATTTATTATTATTCTTTTTTACTTTGTTAATGTTTGGCAAAGGTTTACGAGGTTGAGGTTGAGGTCGAGTTCAAGTTTTAATAACTTTTTAAAAATGGATAAATAAATTATTTTTACTTTTTAAAAAATATTTTATATCCAAATAAACTAAATCCTAAGTGTTTTTTTTAATAAAGCAAATTTATAATTATAATTATTATTAACTTATTTATTTATTTATTTTTATTATCACCAATTCTTCCCTCTTTAATTAGTAGAGTGGCGCACTTCGGCCATTAGCTTCAGAGCCCAAAACCCTCGCAACCAAGCTGAACCGCTTCTGTAATCAACACCCAACTATTTATCTCCGCCTACAACCACCACCACCACCACCAGCAGCAACCACCAATCGACGCCCATCACAACCACACACGTCCTGTTCTGTTACTTGGTACCTTTTAAACTTGAGAAAAAACCAGCACCCAAATGAAGAACAAGTGCACATGTAGATATCAGTGATTGAAGTAACCAATCTTGAAATGTCCCATTTATGGGTTCGAACGCTTTCGGCCCGAAAGATCCACCGTCGCTTTAGTCTGCCTTTGAGGACCACTGCTCTTGTTGAATGCCAATCCAATTTCTACAACACAACCCCCAAATTTTGTAAAGACAGACTCTTCTTGTATGCCAATTCGTTCTGCAGTCATGCTACAATCAGACATGGTAAATTCTTTTCGGCAAATTATGAACTTTGCGTGTTTTTATATATGAAACATGTATTGCTCTTGAATTGGGTTCATGGGTTTTAGCTTTAGTCTTTACTGGATGTGGATATATTTTTTATTTTTTGTAGGATCGTTATTCGATGATACTATGATAAATGGCATTGGAATGAAACATATTGGTTCGAATTACTGCAAATTAAGCTCATACTCGCGTCATTTTACATTTCAAAATTCCGGTGGATTTTGTACTTTGTCAGCCCCAGATACTGAAAATGCAGTATCGGGTATTTCTAGCAATGATGAAAGGGGTGATGTTGAAGAATTCAGTGTTGATTCTGATGATATTGTTGGTAACGATGAACCAAAAGTAAAGGGTATGGATAAAAAGCCAGTTGAATTTTCAGAAGTTGATATTGACTTACTTCCAACTTTACTTATTATGGGGCGCCCAAATGTAGGCAAGTCAGCATTGTTCAATCGGTTAGTTTTCTTTTCGTGATCCATGTTTTTCATAAAATTCTTACCGGCTGTAATACCCACTTTAATCAAGTTTTTTCTTGTTGGTGTTTTATATGTAGCTTTTCTACTATATTATAGTTGGTTTTATGGTGTTTTAGCTTAATTGGCCGGAGGGAGGCTCTGGTGTACAACACTCCTACTGACCACGTGACGCGGGATATACGAGAAGGGGTTGCCAAATTGGGTAATTTGCTATTTAATGTATTGGATTCAGCTGGATTAGAAGCGGAGGCATCTTCTGGTTCTGTTCAAAACAGAACTGCAGAAATGACAAGAAATGTGCTAGCAAGGTCTCAGTTTGCCCTCTTCCTCATAGATGCAAGGTTAGTTTGTTAGATTAGTTATGACATATCTTATAGATTTGGTGCAATTGTACTTGGTTTTGTCCAATGCACATAGTTGAAGTGAAGTAGAAAAATGCATGTTGACTTGCAGAGGAAATTAATTTAGTAATAGATGAATGTTGAATGATCTGTGAATTTTAGTTAATAATTGGAATTATTCACTACATTTGGGATTTTCAAGAATGAATAATAGATTCTCATTCCATTTTAATTTATCTGGAAGAAACAGATTAATAAGTTGGTTACTTTTAATAAGGTCTCTTATTGCTCTGATCTTTTTGTGTGCCCTTGGTCCTATCTTTGTGACCAGAGATGGTCTGCAGCCCAAGGATATGGTTGTTGGAAAGTGGTTGCGCAAGCATGCATCTGGAATCAAGACTATTGTGGTGATGAATAAATCTGAATCACTTGATGATGGCGTTGGCTCTCTTGCTGCTGCTGTTGGTGAAGCTCATATGTTAGGATTTGGAGATCCTGTTCCTCTATCTGCTGAGACTGGATTGGGTATGACAGAACTTTACGAAGCTCTTAAACCATTGCTGGAGGACCACATGCTCCAAATCTTAAATGGTAAGTGAACCTATTCCTCAAAGATTTTATTCATCAATAATGGAGACATCCATTGTCATGACAAGTTTCCTGGGCTTTTTTATGGATTGGATCTATTATTTGGCTTGAATTTATGGAATCCCATCGGGAAAAAAGGAAAAAACCATGAATGAGTAGCATTTCCAATTTCTGACCTGGATACTTGATCAGATGCATCGCCAGATAGATGGCAATTTCCGGGCATCAACTATGAATAGTTAACAATATGCATTTTTCCTCTCTGATATAGATGGGTCATGGGAGGAATTTAGCTTGAGAATACTGTACTGTTGTGAGATTGAATTATGATTTATCCATTTTTTTAGTGCCGCGTCATATTTTTAACTCACCCGAGTATTTATGTAACTTCTCTTATTATTATTTTTTAAATCAGCTTTGTGCTTTCATTTAAAATAGATGAACATAATCAAGACAGTAGCTCCTGTGAGGATGAGGAATCTAAGTTGCCATTGCAGTTAGCGATTGTAGGACGGCCCAATGTCGGGAAGTCAACCTTGCTAAATGCATTGCTGCAAGAAGATCGTGTTCTGGTGGGGCCAGAAGCTGGTTTGACTAGAGATTCTATTAGAGCAAAGTTTCAATATGAAGGGAGAACAATATTTATGGTTACTATCAGTTTCTCATACATTTTCTTTCTTTTTCATATTAATGGTTGAATATGGTTTTGAACTGTTTTACTGATTTGACACAAGTGCCCTTAAAGTATTGCTTTTTTGATGCATAGCTTAAAATATTGATTCATCTTAGTTATACTCTTGAAATGAATCATACCTACAACACTGCCCGCAGTCTTGCGGGAGGCGGCCAAAAGCAAAAAAAAGTTACAAGGAATCAAAAGTCTCAAAACTGAGATTCATGTCTATTCTCTTGTTTAAGTTCTCTTCCATTCCCCTTTCTCACTAATTTGGGGGCTATTTCCTACTTCATGGGTGTTCCTTGTCAGTCCTCATCGAAACCTATGATAACTATCTCCAACTGGTTTCTGTATGTATTTTTATCCCTGCTTTTACAGTGTACTATCTGCATTAAATCTTCATCTATGAAGGCCATTCCACTCTTGATTCTTTGTCCCATCCTCAGTAGCTTATTCATTTCACTTCATATTTATCACATTAATTATATTTCCACTATATAATTTGAGACACTTTGCTGGGTGCTGGGTGGCCCATCCTATTTTTTGTTGTCTAGACCTTATAATAGCTGATAAGATGTGCAGAAAGGTCAGATATTATCCAACAAAGAAGAAGTGGAAAGAACCTTTGGAGTCTTAACATGACAAAGCAATGCTGGCTATAAGACATTTTACAATTTTTTTTGTTCTTTTTAAATTTTTTGAGCCTTGGCTGTACCTTTAAACTCCTTAATCATAAATGATGAGTTCATTATGTAATGTTGTTGGGTTATTCTTTCAGGTTGACACTGCTGGTTGGTTGGAGAGGTCAAAACAGGAGAAAGGACCATCATCCTTGAGTGTTGTGCAATCAAGAAAAAACCTTATGAGGGCTCATGTAGTTGTTTTAGTCCTTGATGCTGAAGAGGTGTGTCATATATTTCATTTTTCCATTATGCATTTATGTTTTGTAATTTTTATGCCAATTTTTGATAGTAAAATGGTGAATTGAGGTTAATGTAGCTGATCCCAAATAGTCGGGACAAGACTTTGTTGAATTGAGTATTTTTAATGGCAATCTGAATGCTTGATGTAATTATATCAATAAGTTCACATTGAGATGCTAATTAGATAAAATCTTATGTTAATGTATTCAACTTAGAAGTTAGAACATGCAGGATGAATATGAGCTCAGTTCAACAAGTTTTAATCCCAACTACCTGAACAAATAGTAAGCAAGAAGGGGGAGAAAAAAAAAGAAGAAGAAAAAGAAAAAAGAAAGGAAAGAAAGAGAACAACCATTATTTACTTCCTCTTTCATTCAAACTGAAACATCTAAGGTAAGAAACTTTAGCTTGGTTATTGAGCATTAATAACATAACAAGCCTTAACCCCAACTAATAGGGGAGAGCACAGAGGACATGCCTAGCAGAAATAATAAGGAAGAATAAATAAAGATAAGATTAAGAAAGAAGGGAAACAAATAGGAAGCTCTTTATTTGTTTCCTCTTTTCATTGAATCTGAAATATCTAGATAATTTTTTTTTTTCTTTTACCTTTGTTATTGAGCAATAAAAACATAAGCACAAGGAGAAGACAAATTAAAGAAGAAATTACTGTAATTATTGTCAAATACTGCTTAATAAGTATTTATGCATACAACTGCTTTTCGTTTTTTAAGTTATATATATATATTTTTTCTTTTCTTGGTAGTTTTGATACTTCTGCATTTTTTATTTTCTAAAGTCATCTTTTTGTTGTTTAACATTACTCAATTAAAATTGAAGGTTAGCATTTTCTTCTTCTTCTTCTTCTATATCAAACATTATACGGTACTACCATGTGAAAATAACAGTGAAGTATATAAAAGTCATTACTTGATTCCTCCTATTATCCAGTTACTACCATGTGGAAATAACAGTGAAGTATATAGAAGTCATTACTTGATTGATTCGTCCTATTATCCAGTTATTGTATGTTATTTTAAACACTACATCGTGGAAGACTAATCATTTTTTAGGAACTCATTCTATTTCTTGTTACATTTGTTTATCATTTAATACGGCGATCAGATTGCAAAAGAGCAGAGGAGTATGAAGCATGCTGAAGTAGTAATAGCAAGACGAGCAGTGGAAGAAGGGCGTGGTTTGGTTGTGGTTGTAAACAAGATGGATCTTCTAAAAGGGAAACGGAATTCTAGGTTATATGAGAATGTCATCAAAGCTGTTCCTGAGGAAATTCAAACAATTATACCCCAGGTTTGTCAGCTTATCAAATACATCAATCACTAAATTCTTCATTCAAAAGAATTTCTTTGCTGGAGTCTACCCAAAATCAGCTGTTATGTTAATCTATTTTCTACCTGTACCATTTTAGCGGAAGTTAAACACGTTATTCAATGATAAAATATTCTGCTGCATTGGTTGAGGGTGGAAGAACTTTCTGATTTTGTAATTATGTGTAGTGTTGAGATTGACTTATATTCTAAACCAGATATTGATAAAATGAAATTCTTTTTGTCTTGATATTCTCCTGCACCCTTTTTACTTGTTGAGTTGTTGTAATGCTATTATCTTCTGATTAATATAACAGTACCTAAAAACTTGTTCTGCTATTCCTGTAGTAGGAAAAAATTTCAACTTCTTCCAGTTTTCTTAATGTTTTGAAGCTGAAACCAATTTAAACTGGTTGAGAGGATGGGTTTTCAACCTGATTTAACTGGAAGTGTAAATTAAACCTAAATAGCAATGCGGAATCAGTGCTCTTATGGAGTACTTATTAGTTTAGCTTTTAAACATTTTTTAGCTGCTAACTGGCTATCTCATGGACTTGCCAATTTTGACAATGTTTTTTATTGCCTTGGTACCTACGAAAGGGTGTGCAGTTGAAATCAGGAATTCAGGCCACTTCGCTTATTGGGAGTGTTTATGAGTTTGCTGAAGTCTTGCTCATATTGTTTCTGTATGGGAATTACTAAAGGCTAAAGGTGGTTCTACTTGCAAATGCATGCATGGACTTCAGAGTTGGGAACGTACAAGCTAGACATTGAACTAGTCTCCTATCATTCCTGAATCCCATATACCAAGTGAAACCAACCCCTTGCCATCTGGAATGCCCATAACTTATCTTCAACCTTTTTAAATGCAAAACCCACAAGTTTTGCTTAATCTTTATCCAGCATACATTCATACAACCAGTTGTAGGCTTCATTATTCTAAATTATTTTGTTTTTTAATATATTAATTATTATATATACTTGTTTAAAGGAGTTTCATATGGAAGTACTAATATTTTATAGAATTTCTTGTTTATCATCTGCATGTACTTGTCTTAGTTTTATTTGTTTATTTTTTTATTTGAGAGAGAGCACTGTATAATTTAAAACAATAAATTTGGGTGGAAAATTTAAAATATGTATATATGTATAGAAGTGTACATTTGATTCTTCATAACTGTAATTTCCAGTAAATCTTTTAAAGGAATTAGAAATCAATATGCCCTTTTCATTAATTTGTGCATTGATAATCTCAATTAGTTATCGAATTTTCCATTTCCTGTGAAAATTTGAGACCATGTCACTCTCCGCAAGGACTTGGGTTCTACTTTTTATAATATCTGGAAGTTGCGCAGTAACTGTAATGTACCTAATGTACCTTTGGATCTTGAGGGAGTGGTTTAAGATGTTGTGTTGTGGAGATCTTATAAGATTATGTCATTAATGGTAATGTTGAAAGTTGACTGATCTATATCTTTGATCGAAGTTGGGCAAGTAATGCAATCTCTCTTGTTCACTTGGTTTCTTTCTTTCTTCCTGTTTTCCGTGCATCAAGAATTCAAGATCATAACAATTCCTTCTTACTGCAGCAGTATAATCAGTGGGGCTGTAGACTTAGATTGGCTGGGAGCTTCAACACCACATTATGAGAAGTGTCTTTTTAGTTTCAGTTTCGCCCTTTCCAAGTATTGGTAACCGGTGACAGTAGCCACAATACTTAAAGGAACGCTAAAACATGCTTGTTGGACAGGGTCTGGCTTACTCTTCACACTTGATTTTAGGTCACCTTTTAAAAATAACATGTTCTTATCCAAACATGCTTCTCCTGGAGAGAATAATATACAGGGAAGTAGTTTTGCTGCTGATAATTAAATTATAAAAATGGTTAGTTTTGGATGCGATTGGAAAATATATTACTTATTATTATTTTATAGAGATGCGATTAGTTTCCTTCCATTGCTCAAGTCATGATTTCTAGAATGGTGAAGTAGTTGACCTGGAATTGACATGGGTTTGTTGACAGGTGACGGGAATACCAGTTGTATTTGTTTCAGCACTGGAGGGAAGGGGCCGGGGAGCTGTGATGCGTCAGGCCATTGATACATACGAGAAATGGTGTTTAAGGTTGCCTACAGCTCGTCTTAACCGTTGGTTGCGCAAGGTCAGTATGTCAGAGCCTTCTCATTTCGTCTCCCAGAACCATGCAAATATCTATTACTATTGGTAGTGAATACTCTTCTGTTTCTTTGAGTCAGGTTATGAGTAGACATTCTTGGAAGGATCAGGCTGCCCAACCTAAGGTCAAGTACTTCACCCAGGTGAAGGCCCGGCCACCTACTTTCATTGCCTTCGTGAGTGGGAAGACGAAGCTCTCTGAAACGGACCTGAGGTTCTTAACGAAGTCCTTGAAGGAAGACTTTAATTTGGGCGGGATTCCTGTCCGGATTATGCAGCGTTCTGCTTTAAAAAAGGCCGAGGGTAGCAGCAGCAATAGCAAGAACAGCCAATATGGTGGGAAAATTGCTGAAAGAGTAGTGTCTGACAAGAGAATTGTTGAGTCTATTGTTGCAAAAGAAGACTTAACATTTTGAACTCAAAAGGATGCCTATGATTATTTATCTTTTGATGTATTTTCTGTACACAGATGTTGAGATTGAGCACTAGGTACAAGTATAGTGCTTCCTACATTAACAATGTATTTGAGCTTTGTGAAGCTCATCTTCTGGAGAAATGTATATGCGTAGAGATAAAAAGTGATAATGGTTATATACATGTTTTTCCTTTAAATGCATATGGAGCAAAATATTGGCTAGAGATTAGGGATGTCAATTTAACCACTCTGTCAGGACCTCCCCTCTTCATTGGAATGGGCATAGGATTATCCTAACAAGGTTTGGAAAGAGAATTTAAAATTCACAAAGTCCAAAACTCGCCCGATTAATAATTAATATATATTATTTTATTAGTTATAATTTTTCTTTTTTTACTCTATTTTTTATGATAATTTTAAATTTTAATAATTTTTTTTTGTTTTTTGTTATTATGATTGTTAAATATCTAACTATACTAATTTTTTTTAAAATAATTTGTTTAAGTTTTTTTTTAAAAAATATATATTCGGACATTCCAACTTTGATGGAAGGCGCCCGCAACAACTTTGATGTTAGATGCCCGGAACGAGTTTAAAAAGGAAAAAAAAACATTATTAGGAGTGTCCCTTCTTGAATTCGATGATTGAGATTTGTATATTCAAGTCAGTGGATCACGTAATATATAATTAGTGGTTTATATGAAGGAATTCTTATACATATATAATATATATACAAATGTTATAATTAAATGGGTCAAGTCATGCCAGCCAACTTGGTTTAATAGGTTAACCTGAACTTAACCCGTGGAAAACGTGTGGAACGGCTTGAAAAATTACAGTCAACGCAATGAAAAAGCCTAAGCCACCTAATTGTTTGTCCTTGATGGAATTTATCAGGATTTGTCAACCTTATTAACAACTAACAGGGTGGTAAAACATTAGTGGACCCCACATGGCTTGTCCCGGCCCCCACATGGCTAGTCCCGGCCCCCACTTCGTCACATGATGGCTTTTCAAATTGTCACACTGCGTAGTATTTTACTAAGATTAGAAATTTATTTTCTGAGCAAATAATGAGGTCAAACACTACACTTGATAATGATACTTTTATTTTTTATTTATTTAATTCAAAAGTTAATCAAACAACACAGTAGTTATAACTGTTAATTCAAGAAAATAAATAAATTGGAAGAATTCATTTCTGTTTTGGAATAAACTGTAACTAAAATAAGGTAGAGGGGGTAAAATGCAATTTTTTACTTTAGTAATTCAAATCCTACAATTTCAGAACACTATACATTTTTTATATATGAAACCCCTTAACAAACTTTTTGGGTGGTTATTCAACTAAAAAAAAAAAAACTTTGTTGGTGGAAATTGAAGTGTGTGTGTGTGTATATATATATATATATGTGTATGTATGTATATTATTGGTAAGAAACTCACACTAGGAGCTCCAATCTTCACATTCCTTTTCAAAAAGCAAAGAAAATACTACTAGAGTACAACCACAGATAAATTTGTATTATATAATTAGGGCAAAAATGCAAAACCTCATGTAAACTATAAATTCTTGCAAACTTACTTAATCCTTTGCACTTTTAATCTCCCTAAACTTGCTCAAAATTTTGCAATCTTCACCCCTACAGTTTGTTGAACGCTAAAAAAGTAACATCACGCGTGTTTTACATGACAAATCAGTTATATATTTATTTTTATGCTTTATTATTGATTAAAAATCATTGGATCGATTTATGATCCATATGAAATTGGATTTGTGCTTCACTTAAGAAATCACAAATAACATTAGAAGTACAGAAAGATAAGTTGTCAGAAATTGATAATTTATTTAAGGCATATTTAATCAAAAAGAAAAAAAATTATTGAAATAATGCTACTACTTCTCTATGTTCAAGGAAAAGAAAAAGATTGCATCATTTAATGATATTGATGGTTTGCTCATGCCCTTACATATGAAAGTATCTTTCATGAACCTTATAAATAGATGGTTCCAAAGGAGTAAAAGTGGTCATTCCTATAGAGTTAAGTAGAAAATTAACCCCTGTTTTTTTTTTTTTTTTAAAGTAATACTATTAATTAAGAAATTTTTCTCATAACAAGAGTTACAAGCTCTCACATTTATGCTAAGCAACTCTCACATTTATGCTAAGCAACGGCTCTTTGTATTAAAAATCTTATAAAATTTTTAAAACCAAAGCCCACACCAAAATTTAGAATTGAAAGTACTTTGAGGATAACCATTTTGATGAAATACATTATTTAAGTCCATACTTCCCTTTGTGCACGATCTCTCTCCTCCTCCTCCTCGTTGTTGAGCATTATATTCCCATACTTTTATATGCATACTATTTTCACAGTCTGATTGAATTTGAGTTGCACCAATTATGTTAGAAATAAATTAATGCCATGTTCATTGTGCATTTTGGTTTATTCATGTATTATTATTGTACATGTATCAACTGTGTACATGTATCAAGTGAGTGCATGTATCATGTGTGTGGTTGAGAATTGTCTTGGAAAATTCAAAGGTCTATGGGAGAATAGTATATATAGTGTAAGGGATTTGTTATTAAGATATATCAACACAACAAAGAATTCAATCCAATACAGAAAAATAATTGTTTCTTCATTCTTCTCCTCTCTTCACTTAGAAATTATTTAGTTGGTTGAAACTACAGCCAACATAAGTGGTATCAGAGCTTGATTTCGATCAAGAGCAAATTGGGCGTGAAGCTTATTGACGGGAAAACAAAACCAGAAGAAGATCGATCGTGATGGCGACTACAGGCAATCAAAACCAAGGTGCCCATCAATCAGCACTTCCCATTTTTGATGGGGAAAATTATTACTTTTGGTATGTGAATATGAAGACCATTTTTCTCTCATATGATTTATGGAATTATATTGAAAATGAGTATGATGAACCGGAGGATACAACAACTTTAACGAATGCCCAAAGACAACAATTGAAAAAGCATAAGAAGAAATATGCAAAAGCTTTAGGCTTGATTCAATAAGGAGTTGCTGATACAATCTTTCCCAGAATTATCGATGCTTTTAAAGCAAATGAGGCATAGGATATCCTCGAGAAGGAGTATAGAGGTAGCACGAAGGTAAGAACTGTAAAACTCCAATCTTTAAGAAGAGATTTTGAAAATATGAAAATGAAAGAAATGAAGTTGTTGAAAGATTATTTTTCTAAACTTATGGAGGTGGTAAAATGAAGACCTATGGGGAAGATATTTCTAATCAAAGAATTGTTGAAAAAATTCTAATTAGTTTGCCAGAAAAATATGACTCTATTGTTATTGTTATTGAAGAGACTAAAGAGCTTGAAAACTTGAGTGTTGAAGAATTGATGGGTTCTATAAAAACATTTGAGCAAAGGTTGAGTAGACGTTTCAAAAAGACAATTGAAAGTGCTTTTCAATCCAAGCTCAATGTTAGTTCCAAAAATCAAGAAAATACCTATCAAGTTTTGATCGATCCAAAGGTGAATCTTCTAGAGGTGGAAGACACGGAAGAAGAAGAGGAAGAAATTCAAGAGGAAGAGAGAGAAATAACTTTGAGAGAAGTGGAAATATAGAGTCCACTCAACAAAATTGTGGAATTTGCAAGAGAAGTAGCCATGTTGACAAAGATTGTTGGTTTCGGGGAAAACCTCAATGTTTCAATTGCAAGAAATTTGGACATGTTCAAAAAGATTGTCGGTTGAAAACAAATCAGCGAGCTAATTTTTCCGAAGAGCAAGAAGGCGAAGCGAGCATGTTTTATGCTTATCACACGACATTGGAATAAAAGGATGATGTGTGGTTTCTTGATAGTGGGTGTAGTAACCACATGATCGAAGATAAAAACATATTCTTGGAGATTGATTCTTCATCAAATTCTCAAGTGAGGATGGGAAACGGTGCCTTGGTCCAAGCAAAGGGAAAAGGTACTATTGCCATAGAGACAAAAAAAGGAAAAAAAACATATTGGGATGTGTTACTTGTTCCAGATTTGGAGCAAAATTTGTTAAGTGTTGGATAGCTTGTAGAGCATGGGTACTCCATTCATTTTGATGAGGACTCTTGCAAAATTTATAACAAGGGAGGACAAAATCATATTGTGGCAAAAATCAAGATGGGCAAAAATAGAAGCTTTCCTCTCACTTTTTCATGTTAAAAAAATATGACCTTGAAGATGGGATGTTGTTCATAAGTCATGGCTTTGGCGTAGAAGGGTTGGGCATTTGAATTTTCAAAGCTTAAAGAATTTACAACAAAATAGCATGGTGTATGGGCTGCTAATAATACAAGAAGTTTGTAAAGGTTGTGCTCTTGGCAAGCATCACCGAGAGTTATTTCCGAAAGAGAAAGCATGGAGGGCTAAAGCACCATTGGAGGTTGTTCATACCGATGTGTATGGACCGATGACAGCACCAACTCAAGCGGGTAACAAGTATTTTATTATTTTCGTTGATGATTTTTCAAGAATGACATGGATTTATTTCATGAGACAAAAATCAGACCTGTTCTCTATTTTCAAAAAATTACAAAAGCTTGTTGAAAGGCAAAGTGGCCATCTTATCAAATTGTTAAGAAGTGATAGAGGTGGAGAGTACAACTCAAATGAGTTTGAAAAGTTTTGTGAAGATATTGGCTTGGAGAGGCAATTAATGGTTGGGTACACTCCACAACAAAATGGAGTGGTAGAAAGAAAAAATAGAACAATTATTGAGATGGGAAAATCAATGCTTCATGAGAAGGGGCTACCTAAATCATTTTGGGGTGAAGTCATGTATATGGCTGTTTACTTGATGAATAGGAGTCCAACAAAAGTGGTGGAGAATAAAACTCCATTTGAAGCATGGAGTGGAAGGAAGCCATCATTGAACCACTTGAAAGTTTTTGGGTATATTTGTTTTGCTTATGTTCCAAGAGAAGTGAGGCACAAACTTGATGAAGCTAGTGAAAAATGCATCTTTGTGGGTTATAGCTCAAAATCAAAGGGCAATAGACTCTTTAATTTGAAGAAGAATAAATTGATTATTGGTAGAGATGTTCTCTTTAATGAGAAGGCTGCTTGGGATTAGAAAGAGAAGAAAGTTCAAGATCAAATCTCCATTTTCAATGAAGAATCAGGAAATCAAGAAAATGAAAATGAAGATTTTCTTGAAGTTCCACAAGAAATATCTCCCGTATCTAGCTTACAATCAATCCCAACTTCTCCATCAAACTTAAATTCCTCATCTCTAAGTTCAACTCCAAGAAGAATGAAAAGTCTTAGTGATGTGTATGCAAGTTGCAATTTTTATGTTGTTGAACTGAAGAACTTTGAAGAAGCAATTAAATAAGAGGCATGGAAGAAAGTTATGGAAGATGAAATTTATGTGATTGAGAAGAACAAGACTTGGGAGTTAGTAGAGAAGCCGAAAGACAAAGATGTGATTGGTGTGAAATGGATTTTTAAAACAAAATTTAATCTGGATGGCTCCATTCAAAAGAACAAAGCAAGACTTGTAGCAAAAGGGTATTCACAACAGCTCGGAAATGATTTTTAAGAAACTTTTTTACCCGTGGCTCATCTTGGCACAATTAGAGTACTCATTGCCTTGACGGCTCAAAATGGTTGGTCTTTGTATCAACTTGATATAAAATCAGCCTTCTTGAATGGTGTTTTGAAAGAAGATGTTTATGTAGAACAACTTCAAGGCTTTGTTGCAAAAGGAAAAGAAGAGAAAGTTTACAAATTAAAGAAGGCTTTGTATGGCCTAAAACAAGCATCCCGGGCATGGTATAGTGAAATTGATTCTTACTTCATCAAAAAAGGCTTTCAAAGGAGCAAAAGTGAGCTAACCTTGTACTACAAGACACAAGGTAAAACTGTGATTTTTATTGTTTCTCTTTATGTTGATGATTTGGTATTTACCGGTAGTGATGGAAAAATGATTGATGATTTTAAAAGAGAGATGATGAAAAAATATGAAATGAGTGATTTGGGTTTGTTGCATTACTTCTTGGGCATTGAAATTTATCAAAAAGAAGTAGGAGTTTTTATTTGTCAAAAGAAGTATGCAAAAACTCTTCTTGAAAATTTCAAAATGTTGAATTGCAAATCCGTTTGCACTCCCTTGGTTGTGAATGAAAAATTGATGAAAGAAGATGAAAGTAAAAAAAGCGGATGCATCTCTTTATAGAAGCTTGGTTGGAAGTCTATTATATTTGACATCTTTAAGACCCGACATCATGTATGCTACAAGCTTATTATCTCGGTTTATGCACAATCCAAGCCAAATTCATGTTGGGGCTGCAAAGAGGGTGTTGAGATATATACAAGGTACACTTGATTTTGGCATCTTGTATGAGAAAAATATTAATGCAAAGTTGTTTGGTTTTTGTGATAATGATTGGGCTGGATGTGTTGATGATATGAGAAGTACTTCCGGTTATGCATTCTTTCTTGGTTCGGGTGTATTTTCATGGGCATCTAAAAAGCAAGAAACGGTGGCACAATCTTCTGTCGAGGCTGAGTATATTTCAGCATCATTGGCAGCGTCATAAGCAATCTGGCTAAGGGGAATTTTTGAAGATGTTGGTGAGAAGTAAAAAGAAGCTACTCCAATTTTATGTGACAACAAATCCGTAATTGCTATGACAAAGAATCCTATTTTCCATAGTCGCACAAGACACATTGCAATCAAGCATCACTTCATTAGAGAAGCCGTGGAGAATGGAGAGATTCAACTCAAGTATTGTAGGACTGAAGACCAAGTTGAGGACATTTTTACCAAAGCACTTCCCAAAAATAAGTTTAAATACTTTAGAGAATTGTTGGGTGTCACAACATGGCATTAAGGGGGGTGTGTTAAAAATAAATTAATGTCATGTTCATTGTGCATTTTGGTTTATTCATGTATTGTTATTGTACATGTATCAAGCAGGTACATGTATCAACTGTGTACATGTATCAAGTGAGTGCATGTATCATGTGTATGGTTGAGAATTGTCTTGGAAAGTTCAAGGTCTATAGGAGAATAGTATATATAGTGTAAGGGATTTGTTGTTAAGATATATCAACACAACAAAGAATTCAATCCAATACAGAAAAATAATTGTTTCTTCATTCTTCTCCTATCTTCACTTAGAAATTATTTAATTGGTTGAAACTACAGCCAACAATTATACATGCGCATAGAAAAGTCTTAAGACTTAAGACAACGTATTACATGCCTCCACCATTCCGAAGAGTCTTTTTCGACTCTCTATTTTTTTACTAATTGTATTTTTACGAATTATTATGTTTTTATTTTCATAAATTATTATTTTTATATGTTCTATTACTAACATCACCTCTACATTAAATAGAAACGTCCTTGGTGTACTTACATAATTCTTTTATTGCATTAAAAATTATAATGGACCTAACATTAATTTCCTTCCAACTCCACCCCTCCTTTCCATGACATCCCTTTTCTTTTCTCCACCTAAGGACTGGTACTCATGTGTACACTCATTAATGCATAAAATGATAGAAGCCCTAATTTCCAATAGTAATACTCCAGGCCACTTTTTTCTTCGATTGCTATTTTTTTTTTTCCCTTCTAAATTAACATATGTAATATTCTTGTCTTTTTGGAATGTCATTGAAAACCAAAATCTGATGAAGAAGAAGAAAGGAAAGGTTAAAATTGAGTTAGTGGGTGATTGGAGTGACAGTGGCTGGTCCTCTCTATGATTATGACCCACAGCCACAAGACTACAATTAGAGTGTAAGTCTGCAAGTCTTTGTGCTTCTCAGATGGGGTAATAATTGGTAAAGCTTAGCTATATACAGCCAATACGCGGCTATATATATATATATATCTATATCTATATATATCATAGACTTCAGCTACTACACCTCTAGACCAGATCCCAAGAAGAATGTAGCTGCGCCCACCCACCCCACCGCACGCACACGCGCAAAGAAACAGACAGACGCATACAATATATGTGTGTATATGTATATGTATATACATACATATATGAACTCACATACACACACACACATATATATATATAATGTATAAATGGACTATATGGAGAGGGAGAGAGTGAGGATTATTGTCAAAGAGTACGGGTCCTCTAACGCGTCTTGTAACAATTATACCGTCCGAATCACTCACATGTGTGTGGCTATTACAATACAGAGGCATACTCTATTGCAGAGGATCCGAATGCATTGTCACGTTACTATAAAGTGTTCACGATTTTCAAAGAAAAGCTCTGGTCAGGACCGGCCATTCTATGTGGATACTGTTTGCTGCGTCTGCAAACAACTTTTCCTCCCTCTGGCAACGTGAGACGTCACAGTTATGGTATGTCATAAAAATTGAAATTCTTGATGCTCAGTTGGGTGGTTCTAGAATTGCCTCCTAAGTGGATTAGTTAGTCCCTCCAACAAAATAAGCATAATGGGACAGTCCACAATGTCTTCATTGTGAATGTTGCCTTGTGGAAATGGGGTCCAAACCCTTCATGGTAATTTTGTGTCTCTGCATAGTCTGTGAGCACCAATCATGCCATTATCATTCTCATGAGAGAGAGAGAGGGTGGGGGGAGGGAGAGAGTCCAATTGAAGAAAACTAGTTAGGCACAAAAAAAAATTCAATTATGAGGAAATAGTTTGAGATTGATTTACTACATAAAAAAAAAAAAAAGAGACAGTCTTCATTTAATTTGAAATACTAGTTAAGCAACACTAACTATTTGTTGATCATCAATTCAACTACAGCTTACACAATTTCAAGAACTGAAATACAAAAGTTACTACAAGGAATTAACTTGATAATCCTTTAATTTAAACACAAAACCCTAATGAAGCTAGCTTTGATCAACAGGAGTCATCTTCTTAGCTAATACCTAAACACTTGATAATTAAACATTAATTAGCAGATCATATATATAAATATTTTATCTATATATATGTATGTTCGATCAGTTCATGGATATTACTTGAAAGGACTGGTGTAGTCTTTGTTTGTTGCATCAGTGACTGAGTTCCAATCCCACAATCTATCCGAGAAGCCGACAGCCTGAAATGAGCCCGGAAGTGGATTGAGAGCCAGCATAGACTGCGATTGAGGCTGCAAAGTGGAGGAGAATTGAGAAGAGAGATGTTGTAGTTGATTTTGGTAATATTGTTGTTGATGATTTATTGAAACCTGTTGGTAATTCACTAGTCTATGGAGATCATCAACCGAGTTAGGTGACACGAAAGAAGTGCCGGAAAGAATGGTGGTGCAATTGGGGATTAGCAAAGAAGGAACCTGTTTTGGGTGGTGCAACAACATCCTATCTTCTTCCATTGGCATAAGTGGTGCAAATGCGGTGGTCATTGGGGTTAATGCAGTGTAAGAAGTAGTGTGTTTGGAAAGCCCAAGAGCTGTCCCAATTTCATTGCTACTACTTCCACTTGTTTCACTCATTTTCTCAGTCTCAACTTGCTGTGTTTGTCCTCCAAAAGTTTGCAATTGCTCCGGGGGAGGATGGGTAATAGCGTCAAGCTGCTTCTTATCCGGCTGCATTCCTCGCGATGAGGATGCCCTGGTTGAAAGAGAGCGAGGGAGGGATGGGTGGTCTTCTACTCCGGCTCTCTTGTAGACGCGACAAAGCGAAATTTCTGCCTGAAAACAAAGTAGAATTGAATGAGATATATGTAATCTTGACCTAATTTAAGCAATTTCATATAACACAAGGGGTTAGATTGATAAAAAAAATTATTTGGACATGAAGCATATGAAATCGGTTGCAGTTATCTATGGGAAGAACCAGTAGTATTTAAAGCTAGAAATGGAACTTTAATTATACGTCACTGAATTTCAAGTTCATGCATGTGTCTCTCTATTTCTGTGATATAAAAGGTTAAAGAATCCTATAAAATAAGAAACAAAATTGGAAACTTAATTGTCACTAGCTAGTGTCCCGTTGAAAATTTTCTTTTCCTCTTTCAATTTCTCAACTTTTCTTATCTATATGATGGTGTGCTATGTCTAAGCTAGAAATGAGCAGATCATTTGCAACCATAGTGGGAGAAAATAGAGCTTTTTTTACTAAGGTTCAAGATCAATATGTGCGTGTGTTTGTGTGTATTCAACTATAAAGGATTCAAATCAAAGATTTTAGAAAGCCTATTAAGTTCTAGCTCTTCTTATTTTTTGGGATGTTATATATTGTTATATATATATATATAAAGATTGATGATCAATGTATATCTATGTATGTGTGTGTGTGAGTCTGTGTATATATATGTATGTACCTTTTGTAACCTTTCGGTTTCATGCTGTGGCAAACGGTATTCGTTCATGATCCAACTAGTTCGGATGCCTTTTGGAGCTTTCCCAGAGTAAAAAACCAGTGTCTTCTTCAGCCCAATTGACCGGGAATCCTCAGTCCGGATCAGCCGGTCAGCTCCGGTGGCCTTCCAGTACCCTGAAGTTGTCACACGGTTTGGTCGATCCCCGTTTCGATACTTCCTGTCTCTAGGCACATAAAAGAACCATTCCTTCTCCCCAATTGCTGCCAAAGCTGAAATTAACAAAACAAGCAAATATATATAATTGGAGCACCAAACTAATATATATAGATTTCAATTGGAAAGATCAATATATACACCTTATGTTGTTATGAATTAGATATCATATAACTATGTATAAAAGAAATATAGGACTTTATGATTAAAGAAGAGAGAGAGAGAGAGAGAGAGAGAGAGAGAGAGAGAGAGAAGAGAATGAATTAAGGTAAATTAATAATGAAAAGAGTACTTTTTGAAGAAAAATAATACTTAATAAAGATGAAATGGTACTACTTCATTGGAGAGGGTAAGCACACAGGAAGTTTAATACCTTATATATGATGTATATAAATGAATACACACACACACGAGAAATTTAGGTGTTTATGCTGAAAGAATAATGGGTATTAGTCCATTTGATAGGGCGAGTACAGCATGAAGCTCCTAAAAGCTTATGATGAATACAAATGAACATACGTATATATAAACACACACATACACAAGAAATTTTAGGTCTTTATACTAAAAGAAGAGAAAGAGATGAGTTAGAGTAAAGCCAAATCAATAAAGGGATATTTAGTCTATCTTACATGGTAATTATACTAGCTAGGAAGCTCCCAATAGCTTATGAAAAGAGAAGATTCAAGAGGCACATAAGGATCAAGACAAAGACGACTGAGACAACTTGCTATTTTGGCATTTTCGTCACAAAGAAGAGCTTTCTGATTTTTTTTTATTCCGTCGTATCTTCAGAAAAGATTAAGTCAGAGATTAAGAATTTTCAAACTTCCTATTACAAATGCTTTGTAACTAGTATTTGGGTGTTTCTGCTTGAGCTAAGCAAGATAAAATTCTCATATACAGTTATCTATATATATCTCTCTCTCTCTATATATATATATATAAACACAAACAAAGGAAATTTAGGTCTTCATGCTGAGAGAAGAAGGAGAAGATAGTGAAGCTAGCTAGGTAAAACAAGGAAAAGGGTACTATATATATATATATACATGTATATTAGTACTCCACATGAGAGGGCAAGTATATGTATATATACCAGGAAGCTCCCAAGGGTCATAGCGATATAGATCAAGGAAAGTGATGAGTTCAACATTGAAACGCTTGCCCTCGACCTTACGGCGAAGGTAGAACTCTACCAGCTCTTCTTCAGTGGGGTGGAAGCGAAAGCCCGGCATCACGACATCGTGTTCATGCTGGTCATCATCCACCTTGTTGTTGCTGCTCTGATCATGATCATCTTGGCTAGTACTCATGGTTGCTGCAATTGCCATAAACCAACCCTAATGGTTTATATATATATATGTATCACTTGTGATCATATATATATATATATATACCTAGCTAGGTCATATACATAAAACTTATTGCTCACTAGTTTTTGCCCTCCCCCTTTTATACACTTGTGAGTTATTGTACGAAATTAGGGTTGTGCAAGTTGTGGGGTGGACAAGGTCATATAGATGGATGGTTAAAATGTCGTACATGCCAACAACTTTTGTAAGTCTTGTAGTCTTCTTGGATTGTTTCTCTCTCTAAAGTCATGAGAAGGAAGAAGAAGAGAGTAGAGAGAGAGAGAGAGATAATAGAAAGATCTACATAGCTTTCAGGCCCTACATGGGAAGAGAGGTATGCATTGAGGTGTTTTAAGATGGGGAAAATGACATGTCAAAAAGAGGACAGGGTGGCCACAGCCCTTGAGCGGTGGATTTGGAGCTTTCTTAACTCTACCATAAATTTTCTACTATTTTTTGTATATATATATATTTGTGAATTTTTACATGACTTCTGGGTCATTCCATCTCAGCACCAATTTATCAGCACTATTTATTTATATGAAAAATGAATACGTAGTCACTGAGTGAAAACTGACATCATGATCAGTGATTCAACTGATGTCGAAATTATTCTACTTTCAAACTTGTATTATTACTCAATTTATATTTCATCAAAAGTACTCTATAAAATATCAAATTAGTGTAAAATCTATTTTGAATCTTTCTCCGAAATATGCACGAGGTAAGATTTTCATTTTTTTTTAGTAATATAGTACTGTGATATTTAAACTAAATTTATTATGATTGTGGCATGTCCAAATTATAAGATTTAATGTTGTGTGACTAATGTTTATGTGTAAGCGCATACACTTCTTTTAGAGATTGTGTAAATGTTTGTGTGTAAGAACATACACTTCTTTTAGAGATGCCGTGTTCGTGCCAACACAGATAGAATGTCCTGGAATTATTATTTTTTTTTCTTGATGGATACGGTTGGGAGATAACAAGTTAGAAGTGTCTTAACTAAAATTTGAATATATATTTTTTTCTCCATCGACATGATTAGGAGACAATATCAACACTTTCAGGATACTACAAAGAATATTTTGTATTTATTTTTCTTAGCAAAATGTGATTCAAATGTATTTTTAAAATATATGTTTGATTGGTTAGAAAATAAAAACTACAAATATCTAACTCTAATATCTAAATTAGCAATTTCATTTAGATAACATACATAAAATAAGTAAACATTATCATATATATATATATATATATAAAATATATATATAATAACATATTATATTATTATTATTTCACATAGAGATCCATAGTCTTGTCCTACACTCCTACCCTACATTATCGACTAAAAAAAAAAATGTCAAAGGCTGAAATATGTGCTTTATATCAGCAAAAATTAAAATTTGTAATACCATGTTTACCCTTACCTTTCACTTAAACACATCAACTAATTAAAATAATACAGTAAGGGCAAAAGTTCTTAGATAATTACCTGTTGTTAAATTTACAACAATATAGAGGACTGTAAAATTAAACTATAGTGGGATGTGAATGCAATTTAAACTCTATTTTTTAACAAAAGAACTTTAATATATATAGTAGAAGTTATATATACACAATCACAAGTACAATGGAGAAGCCAACTAAACTTTCTTCTTTAGGCCTTCCTCATGGCAAGAAAAGCTACAAAATATGCATGACTTTGAGCTCAGCTTCGAAAGGGAGAGAATGCGCGCTTAACATTATTTTGAAGCTCACTGCAACCAAAGTATAGTGTTATATATATATATATATATATATATATATATATATATATATATATATATATATATATATAATATGTCACAATAACATATGGAAAAGTTAAATTTGTCTTTGAATACAATTTCACTCCATTCAAACTAGATGTAGCTAGCTAGTTTGATCCCTACCCTCTCCATACAAACAAATAATGAATCACAAACTAATTAGTAATTAAAGTTGCACAAATTGAAACCAAGCTTAATATATTGTACAAAATATTTATGCATTGGTATGAAAACATAACATTAATTCACACATGTAAGTGCATCATATACATATAATATAGTATAGCTTTCATTATCATGAATTGCACTTCTCAGTTCACATAACATCATACATAAAACGTCTACACAAGATATTATATAAAAAAGCATAGATTGGAGTGTAGTGTGTATGAGCTAGTAGTGTCTGTGGGACTACTGCGATAGTCAAGAGAAGCCCGTGACCACTCTCTCCATGATACTGATACATATATATATATATAATGAAAGGAAGAATCTCCAGTTGTAGTCATATATATATATATATATATATATATATATAATTTTTATTTCCTCTCTCTTTTCTTTTTCATATGTTTCTTTTAGTTACTATTATAATTTTAATTTCCTCCCAATCTTTTTGTATAATTAGTACGTCCAATTAAGCACGTACCGCAGAATCTTCTCAAGTGACAACTTTTTGCATTTATTGAAATCGTCAATATATGGCTAGCTTGTTGAGTCTCTCGTCATCATCCAATACTATCAATACATTCATGAATATTGTGTGTGTGTTTATATATATATATATATAATAGACTCTCTTTCTCTCTCTAAATATTCATCATTCGATGGCTATTTATCAATCCACTTTTGTTCTATATAAAGTTTATTTTTCCTTTGTAATGGAAAAGCCAAACCGTGTCTCATTAGAAAACAAAGACATTGACATATATGGGTCCTAAAGAATTTTAGAAAAAGTATTCTAACCTCTCTTTGATTTCTCTTTCTGTGGCCTATAGCGAGTACACGGAAAAATATCTATATATCTATATCTATATATATATATATATAGAAAAAGAAACTAGAGTGGTAAAATATAAATAAAAAATAAATAGTGTAATAAAATATATTCTCTATGTATCCTTAGAAGTAAAAGTCTTTAGTTTGTGACTTTTTCTAATGGATTCAAATGGGCGGAAAGAAGATTCAAGAGAGTTTCTAGAAATACCATTTGACTCTTGCATGCTGCATATATATGAGAGAGAATTTTCAATCAAAAGGTACAGCCTCCTACCCCATCATCAATTCATCATCACAGAGATTTTCTATATATTCATGCATTTATATCATACCTATATATATATATATATATTACATTATATTATAGTGTCTAATAATTGGAAGAAGAGAGATAAAAGTAGAAGCTGAAAATTATAATTAAAGTCAGTCATGATTCATGAGTCACAAACAGTCTTGTCTCTCCAACTAGAAAACACTGCGAGTGAGATTTGGTTTAATATTACAACTAGGTTGGTAATGTGCTTTAACAAAAATGATGCAAGTTAGGCTCATAATTTTCACCCACTTCCTATAAAATATATATTCACAAGCTACTACTTATTGACTTTTTGTTAATTATATATTTATATATATATATGGATATAAAATATGTATACTGTAAACATCATTTTCAATAAATCCCCATCATGGACCGCCCATTGTGCATGCCTCTTACTAAGATTCAGATCATATTTTTTTTTCCCAGTAAGATTCAGATCAATTTACATTCTGCCATATGAAAATGATTTCCTTTCTGTGGAAACTTGTAGCCTCTCTCTCTCTCTCTCTCTCTCTCTCTCCATTGGAAATTAGTATTCTTCACAACCATATATTGACCTTACATTTTTCTTCCTTCTTCCCTCTTTTTCTTTCCATGAAACTATTATGCTTTGAGAATGGTTGAGATTGGTCAACTGCACAACGATGACATGATAAATAAATTACATATAGAAAAGGACTTCACTTAGAAATTCCAGAAGGATGTAGATAATCTTTTTTTAAAAAAACTATATGGAAAGTATCTCAAGGACCATAAGATGTTAAATTTTCTATACCCTAAAATACTATAGGAAGAATCATGTATTACTTATTTTATTTATTTTTTAGTTGGTACTCACACACATATGCCTCCATCGAGACTCGAATTCCTGGCCTCCATCTGAAAAGTAAGAGTTTGGTACCGCTAGACCACTGGTCTGTTGGTAATTGTATTACTTAATAAAACATTCCCATGACAAGAGTGGTGAACTTACCTAATTAACTGTTAATCGAGAAATTTAATTTAAAATAAAAAGGTTGGTTTAACTTTTTATAATCTCAAAAACTATCTCAATTTAGTGACAGTAATATATATATATATATATATATATATATATATATATATATATATAAAGGTTCATGTTCTTGTTTTCTCAATCAATAGTACCTAATTAATTGTTGATTGAGAAAATTTGATTTAACTTCCAGGTCTTGTTTTATGACTTATTCAAAACAAATGTTCTTCTCATGTGTCAAGCCCTTCCCCCAAAAGTTCACATTTCAATGGAGGCATGAGAGTGTATGTAATTACTTAATTAATCTTCCAACAAAAAAAAAACCTTGTGTACTTAAGTTGCTACTTTTGATCACATATCAATTAAGCTTTTACGTTTTCAACCAAATTAATTAATTAGGTGGACAGACCCATGGTCACCACCACCACCAAAATGGCGACATAGGCTTGTATTACCTGAACTCTTTTTCCGCCACAAATTATGTGCTGATTATCTAGAGAGAAAGCCACAAATTATGTGATGATTATCTAGAGAGAGAGGCACATATGGCAAGACCATGTAGGCTTAATATCATCACAAGCCTAATATTCTCTTGCCTATTCCATGCAATATAGGGTTGCTTGCTGTAGATAATCATGCCAGATCAGCATTCTGCATGGCATTATTACCAAAGGCTGGTTAGTGCTGATTGGACCATGTCAGGATCTGTCTGGCGTTTCTCTGAAAGGGCTAGTGAACTCGAGCAACTAGTCCTAGAACTATGAAATACTGTACGAGGAAGGAGTCGCCACCCTTCACTCTCCTGTGAAGGTATCCCGCTCCAATTGGATGGGTCCTACCTTTTCCTATCTTCGGAGCACTCCCTCTTACAGAAGGGGCTCTAAACCAAAGAAAGACTTCCCTCCTCGAGCTCCCCTGTTAAGGAACTCAAGGTGTGGGGCTGGGATGGAACCTTGGGGGTCTTGAAGGCAGAACCTTGAATAGTCCCTCTTTCTCATCTCTGACTTCTAGAATCCAAGAAGCAATGGACAGACGATTGGGGTTTAATACCGAGGTGTCTAAGGCTTTACTCCCACTAAACTACGAGACTTGTGCAAGGCGATCCC